ATTATGTTGGTTACAACAAGACGCACAAGAAAAATCAGTGGGACAAGTAGACCGGGTGCGACGAGAACACAGGTATTGTGCAGAAGCGCTCTCAAATACGTGCTGATCGTATCTGTTTCTAGGCAATATCTGGGCATCAGCAGCCACAATATAAAAAATTCTCCGCTTCTGGCTCGATTGCGGCGCAAAATCTGCCGAAGAACTTGGATATACACAAGGAGTATTTCCCACAACAACAGAGACCTAGTTAAATATCTAAATGATACACTCGACTGGTTCCACGTGCAAGAAAGAGCCCACATTCTGATGTCTGGTGCAAGAAGTTGGTTCGGTAGTGTGATAATTGCTCTGGGACTTGCCCCAGTAGAGCGCAAGGCAGCGAAATGCAAGTAGTCAGCGGAGACTCAAGAAAAGCACGCGGGCAAGACCAAAACAGAAACAATCCCGACCGGAGGAAAGCAGAACGACTGACAACTCGTCCGAAGAAGCAAGGGTGGAAAGGCTAAGCGATCTGGGGCCAAAAAAAAAAATCCAGCGAACCGTTTCTTCGTATTCTAAAAGGTAGGATTCTAGGCTCCCATATCAATGATAGAATCGTACAAGCGAGCTCGTAATTGATAAGCGAACGTCCAGTAACCAGCCCAGCGTCACGATCCCCAGGGTACAAGGGTCAGAGCTCTCACAACAACAGAGCCGCACAACCAGAACTCCAGCACGGAAAAACCAGCCACAAGAGAACATCCCACAAATGGGCTTGATCAAAGCAGCAGCCACAGCTTGCACAGGAACGGCATCCGGAACAGAGGATTCAGATGATGACGTCATGCCTACATGCATTCCTGATGCGCAGGTTCTGCTTACTGCAGCTTCACACCACATTTCTTTTCCTCTTTTCCGCTTCGGTATCACGAGATATACAGCTTCGGAAAAACTTTTGATTGCTGGATCTGCGACGGGATGGAATTTGGCGTCCATCAGAAATACAACGCGGAAGAGTGGGGGTGAAGAAAGGTAAACAGCGTGTGAAGAAAAGTCAACAACTGCAAACATTTACCTGTATAGCAGCGACATTCATAAGTACTAAAAATACACGTAAGAGATCTAACACTGTCAATGGGGGCGCAAAAATGTGTATGAAAGCACTATATGATGAAAAAAAGAAAAAACGACAAACAATAGGAGTAAGTGAAATGGAAGATTGACAGGTAAGCCGGGGTAGGCGCCAAAGCATTGCAAACTACTATGACAGAAGTGGCTTTTCGAGACTTCTATAGTAGGGCTACCACTTCCTTGTGCCTAAAATCTCAATGCTTTGTTGTAGGGCTGTGTACGTTCACGCCTTGAATGAGCATCTTCTTCTCATTTGCTATATTTGCTGATCGTTAAAAGCCCAAAAAATATCTTCAGGGTCCATTTGAATACGAGAATCGAGGTCAAAGGAGAGACAATTGCTGATGCTGGTTGAGCCTTCCGTAGTAGCAGGATAACCATTTCCGTGTAGAGTCTCGTCTAGCTCACCAGCTGGAGACATCAACTCTACAGGAACCTCAAACGAACCTTCAGCTGGTTGAGAATCATCAGCAACGGTCGGAGAGAGTTGCGGCGAGAGAGGAGCGCATCCTGGGGAATTCAAGGAGAGTGGGCGGGCATTCTCGGGACACTCTAAAGCGCCCCTGGATGAGTCGAAGGAGAATATGCCAGAATCTGCCGGCCCGGGCTTACAACTTTCCGCCAAAATCTCTGCGAACGACCCAAGAGCATCAGCATGATCTGCTGGCGGCGTGAGTAGCGGGTGGTCCAAGATATTGTCTTCTGCGGTATTTTGGTTGCTCATAGCGGCTGGCATGCTGTTGTTCGCACGATCTTCAGAGGCATCGACGTTTTCTGAGCCACGAACAGATCTGCTCAAGTGTTCTCGCCAGCTGTGGAGCATATCTTCCTGGACCATGTGCACAATATCAAGCACCATACTTCTCAACCTGCCCTCGAGAATGATATCTTCTCTCTCTGTTTGTATTTCGAGCCGTCGTTCAACGATTGCACGCAAGTTTTCGCGACTGAATTGTTCAAACGCTATCAGATCGGCTGAGCTGGGAGACATTTGGAAACACTGGGTTTGCGGATCAAAATTGCAATCTGTCATAGAGTCAGACTCTTGTCTCGTAAGTTGGACAAAGGATTCACTTACAAGGCGATGGTATTTCCGTCTCTCCTGGAAAGAGGATGAGATAGACACGTTCCCAGCGCTTTTCCTCGCTGTCACTCCCTTTCGTGCGCTTTTTGCTTTTGAGTTGCCTCTCTTGTTCAGGCGTGATGCCTTCAATTTCGGGCATGTTGAGAACTTGAGTGCATCGTTCGGGAGCATTGTAATGAGCACCTAAAGATGCTTCGTCCTGGAAAGTCTCATAACATCGAAGACATGAGAGGGGTCTCATGTGAGTTCGATAAAGATGGCCTCTGGAGTAATAGTAATTAGTGGTGATCTCTAGTTATCAACAGAAAGGATAAGGCTCACTTCAACCGTGAGATATTGGGATATCCTGGGAAAACACACGAGGGAGCCTTCGCCGTTCTGTTTGGGAAGCGCTTTGTGTATGGGCATGCAAATTTTCGGTCACCGCTATTGCGAGATGGTTCCCCCAAACCGGGTGTTTGTTGTCGCTTCTTTCGATTGCCATTTTCATCCTCCTCGTCATCGTGTGGTGAGCGTGTTTCGTCAGCCTTCCGCTTCCCCTGATTTACCGCTGTGGAATATCTTTCTGACGCCTGACTTGCTGATGTTTGAGAATGACATGCAGTACTTGTCGTCACTGATCCATCCTGATCTTGCAGGGTGTTTTGTTTTCCCACATTGGCCTTCATAATTGAGCATCTTCCAGCCTCCGAAGTTGCCGCCACTTCCGCAGTTCTTTGATCCCACGACAGTGTGTCTGACTCAGTGTCGTATTCGGTATCTGATATACCTTCCTCTTCTTCAGGCAAAGTGCTGATCCATGAGCCCGGAGCATGTTCATATAGCTCATGGAAAGTTTCCATGATCTCTTCAACAATTTCCTTCTTCCTTTCATCGGATATATGTGTGCCCTTTCGATTGAAGGAATTTGATGAAGTGCTCGAACCAGGATGAGTTGCTTCCAGTGGCGTGTTCTTGGATTTGCAGACGTCGATTCCAAAGGCATCTGAAGCAGGTCCGTCTTCTTGAGCACCAGAAGATTGGAATTTGAGGGAAGGTGAAGAATAACCTTTAATAGGGCTGTCAAGCTGTATTTCTAGGGGAATCGGCTGTGTAAGCTCACTCTTGGGGAACTTGGCATGTGCGGTGAAGAGCGTTGTATTACACAGTTCAGATGCTGATGTGCTGTGCTGTTGGCATTCGGTCGTATCTGTGCCTGCATTTCCGTTTCCGCAATAAGACTGCTGATCCTTTGCTGGGCTTGTGCTAGACATTCTGCTGGAGAAACTTAACTCGGAATCAAATTTTTCCAAGTTTTCCCCCTGCTTCGTGTTTTCGTCACATTTGCGTCTCGTACGGCTTTTTCGGCCTTTGCAAACATATCCACCACATGACGTTTCGTGAGTATTTCTCTCGGAAATCTTGCCGAATGGTGGAAAACCACACCAGTCATGACGGCACTTGAACCGTTTGCGTCCTCGACCACTAGTTTTCGAGGATCTGAACCAGTTGATAGGAGGCGGAGATGACTCATATCCGGAGTAAACCGATTGAATGAATGTCGAAGACTGAAATGCTGACGTCGAAGACGAGGATTTGGTAGATGATTCTGTGATATCGGACATTTCTCCAGGCGATGGCCCAACTTTGTCTAGCGCCGTAGGAAAAGAGAAGTCGAAAACCCCAGATGCCTTCCCAAAGGCATTACGAGAACGACTGTTCCCCAAAGATGGCACCCAATCATGTGCTGATCTGAAGATGAAGGAATTGCAAGGCAACCCTTCCACCCTTGGGGTGCTCTGACTCCACAAGGCTGGGGTAACTGCCAGCATCTTGTCAATATAGACAATTATTCCTTGTGAACGATCACATTCACCGATGTTGTGCGCCATAACCTATTCAATGGCAAGGCTCAATGAATAAAACAAAGCACCATGCAACTTGCGTGTGTTAGCTCGACGGCGGCTCAAACTCCGACAGGCAACTCAATCCCAGCCCGCTTTGAACAGGGGGTTTGGCCTCAAATGTACTGACCTTCCAACTTTGTAACGAACACTATCGGCTGGAGACCCACTGTTCGTACCCTTGTGAGAATGGGATGGTGGGCAGTCACGTTCCAGCCATTTTGTTTCGCGGGTGCCAGGTCAGCCCACGATTTATGCGGAGGAGGGAGCGGCTGAGCCTCATTCAAGGCTGAGCTGACGCCCAGGCCTGAAATTGCGCACATGTGCAGTACTGCCCTTGTGCGTTGGCTGCTACCAAGCCACATACGTGAGCATGCATGGCTTGGCAGATGCTAGCACCACGGCAGCCTGGCCAACGCAAATACTTCTTGCAAACTTGATAAGGAAGACGTAAGGGATAGATAGCGAAGCTGTCGTTTCCAACATGGAAACAGTGTAAAGCTTGACCCTTCGGCGGCATAGCAAAAGGTGCACACTGGTACGCCAGTCGGGTACGGTACTACCTATATGTATGATAACGACCCCGCATTCAGCCTTGCTGATAAGCTCCAAGGCACCACAGCTGACCGAACCGTTTGATTGACCGCTTGCAAATTCTGAAGGAGCTCTCATATCGGCAGGAGATTCCACGACAATATTGAGTCATTGACCAACTCTGGTTTCGGGCACTTGAACGAAAAAGACAACACAATCCGATGATGATGATGACTTGGTGAAGGAATTTATTGGTTGGATAGTTTTTACCACAAGATCAATGCGGCGGTACTAATACTGATTCTTTTCCTCTTTCCTCTACCGCTGAAATCAAAATCAATCTGAAGACGCTATCGTTATTCATTCAATTATCTTTTCAGAGCCGCTTCTCACAGAGCGACGGCAAGAATGATGGCAAATCCAACGACCGCAGCAGCCGACAGACGCACGCTCAACGAACCAGAAGCAGCATTGCTCGGCTCAAGCGTCACGCCCGCTGCAACCTCGGTGACGGTCACAGTCCAGTACTTGACGTTGGTGGGGTTACGTGTAACGGTATAAGCGGTAGTCGGGTCCGCCGAGACGGATGACATGCACGAGGTAATCGAGGCAGTGTTCTGCTCAAAGTTAGTACAAGATTCCCCCCTCTCAAAAAGTGTAACCTCCACTCCGACATGGAAGAGACAAAAAAAAAAAAAGAAAGATGGAGAACTTACATAAGTCCCCTCATCAACCTCGCTACGCGGGCCGGCCACATCCTCCTCCCAGCAGCGGTCCAGAGCCATCAGATCAGCCGTCTTGACGGCCGCCGGCACACTCGTAACATTGACCGTGCACACGGGGCTCGCGCTGGTCTTGGAGCCGGTGATATCGCAGTGCATCTCGTAGCCGGCGGTGACGGGCTCGGCGAGGGTGGTCTGCGGCGCGAAGGCGTCGGTGCCCAGCGGCTGCACGAAGCCCATGGACCAGTAGTCATCGCCGAACTCGACCGCGACGGGCCCGCCGTCGTCGCCCGCCGCGCACAGCACGCCTGCCGTGTCGTTGCTGGAGCTCTTGGCCGAGCCCGACGGGCAGTGGAAGACCATCGTCGTCGTCGACGATGTCACGTTCCAGACTTTGCCGCTGACGCCGGATGTCGGCACGTAGATGTCCGGGCTGTCGTACACGAAGGCGAAGGAGATCTCGGTTGAGGTCGTGGTGGGGCCGGTGGAGGTGGAGGAGCCCGAGAAGGAGGTGGAGGAGGCGGCGGATGAGGTGCCGCTGAGGGCGAGGGCGGTGAGCAGGAGGGGGAGCATGGTGATGAACGGCTCTTTTGGTGTTTTGTTTCTTGTTGGTGGGATTTGATATTGAGATGGGGGAAAAAAGGGCAGCTACCCAGCGCTAAAAGCTCAGTCAATTGCCAGTGGAAATCTTCAGGCATACATGGCAGTGGTATTTAAGCACATCCTTCAGAATCAACTCTCCAGGCTCCAGTCTTGAAGGATTCAGTCTTTGAGGCGTCGATTACCCGATGTGGACTGATGTGGCCCAGCAAGTAAGGCACAGCAGCGAATGGCAAGCGGCAAAAAGAGCTTGGCACATGTTTCAAGCAGCAGTGGCGTCTACAGCGTCGGAGCTTCGCTCGAAACGGCTTCATTGCTTGGTTGCGGCGTACTTTGCCGAGGTGGCACGGCCGTTATTGGGGGCGCGTCCGCTGCGTTGGTACATGAGTCTAAATTTAGTCCAGCCGACAGCCGACCTTTGGACGGACGAGGTCTGCGAGGTGTGATGAAAAAGCGGAAGAGGGCGATCGCTGGGTAGGGAATCCGCATGTATTTACACTGTCTGGAGTAGATATAGGCTTCCGCTTTTGCTTACGCGTGTTACGCTGAACGGAAGCGCCCCTGGTTGCCGCTAACCGCTTGTGGAAAGTGCCAAGGGGTATGTGCGGCGAGCTAAGTCTTTCCTGATCCTTCGGCGGTAGGCATCCGTCACGAGGCAATAATAGTCGTCCTTTGCCGCGCGCATCGGGAATAACTGGGGATTGATGGATCATCTAGACTATCACCGTCAAAAAGAATCCGGACGAAGGAATCCTCCACCATCCTCAGAAATCGACCGGCCACTTAGTCCTTATCAATTCACCATAGCGGTAGAACAATATAGGAAAAGCGGAAAGTACCAAAGAGAGGAATCCTAGTAGCGTGTTACCCCAACCAAGCCCTAGAGCGGCGTAGAGTGAGGGCCCAGCCAATGGTATAAAGCACCCAGTTAAAGAGCGGAGAATAGCGCTAGCGCCCAGCGCAGACGCCGCAATAGACGCGCCAAACGCATCGACAAGGTAGATCTGGACCGGCATCTATCCGTAGTCAGCTTGGTGGCGTTCGAGAAAGGGGAGAATGATGGCCTACTATGATCATAAGAGCACCTATTCCAATGAAGGATGTACCGATAATGGGAACAATCCAGTGCACCTTGTAGTACGCGCTCCATCCGTACCAGAAAAACCCTACCGTGATGACCGGCGCAAACCACACCATAAGCAGCAGCCTCGACTCCGGCTTCCACGCCTTACCTTTCGCCGCCGCTTTCTTTGCCACTCTATCTGACACGATGCTAAAAATAACGACTCCAGCCGCCATACCCAGGCCTAAGCCCAGATACGATAGCCCTGAAACTCCAGGTCCGAAACGGTACTGTCCTTTGAAGACGCTGGAGAATGTTGTAAAAAGGAGGTTCAGCAAGCCGAAGACAAAAGCACTGTAGAGGGACAGAAGGAGCGTAATCGGCGAAAAGATGAGCAGCTTGACAGGCCTTTGGAGGGACGTCCGTAGCGACGTAGCCGCGCTCCCGCTGCTTAGCCTGAACTTCGTGTACAACGCCGGGTTACCTGTCTCTTTCCGAAGCCGTGCTGCCTTGCGTGCGAGTAGCAGCGGTCCGAAGGTCTCCCGCATCATAGAGATGATCAATACTGTGACGACGCCAGTCTGTGGAAGCTCAGTTTCCGTGAACTTGTGAGAAGAGGGTGCCTGGGTTGTTTACCGCAATGTAGAGGACCCTGAACACCCAACGCCAGCCTACGTATTGAGCGATGAACCCCGCCGTCATGGGGCCAATCACGGGGCCCAAAAGCGGCCCGACGGCGAATCCGCCCATGGCGCGGCCTCTTGTCTCTGGGGGCGTGACGTCGGCAATGGTGCCGCCACCCACTGTGTTTGGGCCTGATCCAGCAACGCCAGTGATGAATCGACATGCGAGAAATACCCCCAGACTTGTAGCTTGCGAGCAGCCGACCAGAAAGCCGACGGACGTAATCATGCTAATTATATAGATAGGAAGGCGGCCATAGTGTTCGGAGAGAGGTGCAATGATCAGTGGCCCAACTGCGAATCCGAGGAGATATATGCTCACCGTCAAGGCGGTGACGGTTGAGTCCGTAATGTTGAACTCTTCAACAACCTGTGCAGCCGCAGGTGCGAATGCAGTAGACGTGATATTCCTGTAGGCAGTCAAGTTGTTAGTGTGAGCTCTGTGTAGGGACGCTACTACACTTACGCAAAGAGCGCAGCAACGCTTGCAAGAACTACATGGCCAGTCCTCTTGAACGAAGGCCAGTTCAAGGGATTCTCCGGGTCGTTCGGGTCCCACTCCACCAGATTCGGATCTCGGGTCTCTTCGCTTCCACTCTCGTTTTGATTATCTCGATCGACGCCTCTCTCAATATCCTTGGGGAGATCGTTTTGCTCTTCCGCGTCTGATTTCTCGAGATTGCTGGTAGAAGAGTGGCCATCCGGTTTTTCGTTTTCGGAAGTCATGATGACTACCTTTGTGGCGTCCACGCCGACCCCTGGTGGTTCGGATATGTGGTGTATCAATGGTTTGGCGGAGAAATTCCGACAATAGAGCTTGTTGCAATGCCACGCAATGGGAAAGAAGTAGTTCAAGTTTCGTGTCAAAAGGCAAAACTTAGGAGAGGGACCAAGGGGCACGGCCTTCTACTGAAGTGGAGCTATACCGGACATATTGAAAACTCCGCTTTGTGCTATACTGGATCTAGATGAGATTGACTGGGGAAGCCTCATTCTGGATGGACACTTGGTAATACCGAACATTAACTCCGAGTGCCCCCATACATCGTCACACAATGGTCCAAGAGAGACATATGCTTGTGCTCCAACAAGCTCAACAACAATGGTGAGGCACCATTGAAAGCAAAAAAAGCCCCAGCGGCAGCCCACTGCTCTGACACATCATCCATGCTTGGACCATGTGCACTGAAACACGAGCACAGTCTTGCACTGTCGCTTGCTCCATGCAGGAGAGTCAACCGCCACCGTTTCAATGCAGGGCAACGCAAAGTTGAAAAAGCGCTTTTTCAAACAGGCAGATTGTATGCTGTTCATAAACAGTTTAAACATATCAGCACTGCGTCAAGAGGTTGGTGTAGGTAATGAATCGTAATATGAATTCCTAGGCTGGCTACGTAAATATGTCGTGCTGGCACATATGCGAGTCTTAATGCCAGCATGTTGACTCAGTGATACACCAAGACGATATGTGCCTCACCGCCGGCTTTGTCGTGTCTCTCCGGCGACTTTTTGTGATCTGCGCGGCGACTTTCGAGGTTGTTGGTCTGAGCGAGAATTGCAAACCTTCTCCCCTGCAGCATGCATATCCTACGTTGCAACATGTTACGATCGACCGGAGTGGCAAAATATGGTGAAAAGTGTAATTCTGAAATTTGGCGTCATCACTCTCCACCTCTAATCGGTCTTTTGCTGCCCATCAGAGCATTCATCCCCAAAATTTCCAATTTCAATGAGCCTATAGAGTCGATAGAGGAATATAGTGGCAATCAAGTTCTTATTGGAATATCTAAATTCGAGCTCTTGAACAACAATGAATGAAGAAACACGGGCACCGTTTCCGCCGTCATGGAGCAAAATTGACCTTCACAGGATTATGCTGAAGACAAAGCGTATGATTTATATCTACTGCTACCATTGGGGTGCTCGTTGTTAGTGGACGGGCTTGTATGTGACGGGCAATGGTGCTGGACGCCACAGTCCGAGTAGCTTCGTATCTTTATCAAAGTCCACGCCTTCATCACCCAGCGTCCAGTCAAATTGCCACACCAAATTGGAAATGACCAACCTGTACACAAGGATAAGCATTCATCCAAAAACGAACTGTAAAGGAGGACATACCGCATTTCCAAATATGCCAGATGCATCCCCAAGCACGCTCGTGGCCCCATTAAGAAAGGCTTCGACGCATCCTTAACATCGTTCTCAAACCTGCTGTCATACAATGGATGGTCTTTAGGTAGCCATCTCTCTGGGTGAAACTTTTCAGGCTCCAAGAAATACCGTGGATCACGGGCAGTGACGTTTTCTGCTACGAACACCCTTGTCTGGTACATGAACATCAATTAGCCGGACAACTCGTTGCAACGCAATTCCACTACTTACCCCTTTTGGAACCCATACACCATCGACCATGGCGCCCGGGGATATGCGCGGTAGTCCAAAGGATGCTGGAGACGTAAGACGGAGGGCTTCCTCAATGACTGCGTTGAGATAGCGGAGAGTCTTGGTGCTTTCACTGTCAATTTCGCTGCGATCGTTGAACGCGCTGCGGACTTCATCTTGAAGCACGGATAGCTTGGCGGGATTCCGAAGAAGATGGTAAGTGGTTGCCATGAGGGTCAAAGAAGTTGTTTCGGATCCAGCACCGATAAGTGTCGGACCCTGCAATGCAAGGACCTCTGGGTCCAGCTGTTGTGAGCCTGCGCCGACGAGATGGTTGAAAATGTCCTCCCGGTCTGTTGCGCCTTTGGCAATTCGTCGCTTCGCCATTTCTTGGCTCATTCTGACGTGGTAGGCTCGCATCTCAGCGCTCTTCTTGTTAGCCAATAGCCGCCTGAGCACAGAGATGACTGCTTTGGGCTGCCGCCGTAAGATGTAAGCAACAGCCAAGGTGGGCCCACTTCCTTGGAGCATCGTAAGCCACTGGTCGGGTTCACCTGTCCATTTAAATCAGAATTTCTTCATTCGAGCATAGATGAATGATGCTCACCTCGCTCCACGTTTTTCAGTGACTCTCCGAATACCAAATCGGTGATAACATCAAACGTGAACCACAGAAACCACCTGTTCATATCCAAAGGCTGACCACTGCGCTCCTGAATCTGCTTCACCAGGGTGTTAACGTATCCCATGATGATATATCCTTGAGATCTTAGAGTCGGTGGGCTGAAGCCGGGTGAGATCATCTTGCGGAGCTCCGAATGCTTCACCGGATCAACTTCCGTTCCCTTAACCAGTTAGTCTCTCTTGGCGCTCTCAAAATAGCAAGATTTCCTTACAATGGACGGGTATTTCACGTCCGACTGAAGATAGAACGTGCTACACTTCTTGAAAAAATTGGGCGCGGTGTATTGGCGGGTGGCGTAGATGTCTTTGATGGACTGGACTCCGGAGAAAGAGAGTTCATTTGGCGCAACACGCACCACAGGCCCTGTTCCAAGAGAAAAAAAAAATCTCAGATCCACACTGGAAGCCTACGGATGATTTGACATACCGTATTTTTGGTGAAGTGCTTCTATGTCTCGATGCCAAGTGCCGCTCAGCCTAGAAATATAAGCTTCAGTCATTTGCTTGGCGTGCTTAGAACTACTTACCAGTGAGAAGCCATCCAGAAATCACCCAGTGCTGCAGTCCAGGGGCCTGGAATGTGGGAAAGTGGGTGAAAGAACACATTGTGTACAACTCTGTACAATATCTACAGGTCTTCTGTCAGACTCTACTGGCTGGGCGAAGGGTCGTCAGCTTACATAGCCAAAGACACACGAAAGCACCGTGAGAACGGTTGCGGAAGGGGAGGTCATGGTGAGACGAGTGTATGATTCTTGAACGAGTAAATAGCGGTGCTTCGTAGGTCCTTTAAATGGTTGAACATCGCCATATGAAGAATCAACTGGAAGGCCTTCAGCTCCAAAGCGTCAGGCCTACAATCAGACCAATTCTCGGATTGGATGCCCACATTGTCACTACCAATCCGTATGAAGCAAGTCTTTACGCCGAGTCAGTCAGTTTTCCACGATAAGTAGTGTGGACAGCTAAACGACTCAGTATACATGCTGCGATGATCCGGCGAATAAAGGTCGGCGCTTTTCTCAACTTCCTTCTGAATGCTTAACAAAGCACGTTCCAACGCTTATGATGCAAAAGCAGATCTTGCGTCACCGGACGGAATGTACGGAAAGGTGGATCATTCCCCTATTTGAAGCAGTATGGACAACTGTGCTACCTGCGAGGTGAAACTGACAGGAGACTTTGCCGCGCATAAAAAGTAAGCTTCCAATCGCTCATTTGCGTGCCAGCATACATCGACTCATTACAAGCCTTTAATTTCACTTTTTTTTGCATCAAGATGACAGCTACCAGTGCTAAACCTTACGAGCCATCAACTGCCCCTTTGAGCGGTTTTCAGCTCTACTGGCGCTTCGGCTTCGCCGGAGCTGTTTGCTGCTCACTTACTCATGGCGCCCTGACTCCAGTCGATGTGTAAGTGTCCCAAAATACCTCAGCAGATAGTCACAAGGCTGCTCTGCTTAATTCCCTCACTCCGAACTTGCCCACATCTTCGTATTTCCCCGACGCTGACGTCCATTCACTGAAGTGTAAAAACATCAATCCAGCTCGACCCAGTCAAGTACAACCGCGGCTTGATTGGTGGATTCAGGCAGATTATCGGTGAAAAGGGCTTCGGTGCCGTGTGGACTGGCGTGGGACCCACCTTCGTTGGGTACTTCTTCCAGGGCGCATTGAAATTCGGCGGATACGAGTTCTTCAAGCAGCTGTCCATCGACACGCTTGGATACGAAACCGCTGCTAGGAACCGCACCGCCGTCTACTTCGCCTCCTCTGCCGCTGCCGAGTTCGTTGCCGATATTGCGCTCTGCCCACTCGAGGCCACTCGGATCCGCCTGGTGTCTGATCCCGGCTTTGCCGACGGCCTGATCGGAGGCTTCTCAAAGCTTGCAAAGACCGAGGGCCTTGCCTCGTTCTACTCCGGCTTTGGTCCCATTTTGTTCAAGCAGTACGTAGAGCGGGTCCACCCTCTCCACTCACCAACTCACTTCAACGTGTCTTCTTTGCACAGGATCCCGTACACCTGCGCCAAATTCGTCGTATACGAAAAAGTCGTCGAGGCCGTCTACAAGCGCGTCGACAAGCGCTCCCTGCCCGACGCCGCCCACACGGCCGTCAACCTCGGCTCCGGCCTCGTCGCCGGTTTCGCCGCGGCGCTCGTCTCGCAGCCCGCCGACACGATGCTCTCCAAGATCAACAAGGTCAAGCTTCTGCCGGGCGAGAAGGTCTCCGCCCGCTTGGTCCAGACTGCCAAGGAGCTCGGCGTACGTGGCTCCTTTACCGGTGTCGGGCCTCGTCTATTCATGGTGTAAGTGAAGAAGCAATTGCCCGCAGAAGCCTGTGGCCCCTCGCTGTGACTCCAGATCCCCTCTGCTAATGATTAATTTTCTAGTGGAACTCTTACGGCTTTTCAGTTTGCCATATACGGCGACCTGAAGAAGGCTATCGGTGCTGTTGGTGGCATCGAGATTGCGCCGAAGTAGTGATGCTTAAGATGAGCTGCAAATAGCTGTTTTGAGAACTTCAGAGGGCGAAAAGGGGGCCGAATCAGTAGAATATAGATTTCTTTTCCAAATATAGACCGACAAACGTATTTCAAGAGCGATAGAATGGATGTGAGAAAATGCGAGTCCTGTGTGCCTCCCTGGTCACTTCATTCTTGAAAATTGATGAATGGTGATCTGGGTGTAAGGTAGATTTCGAAACTGCAAATATTCAGATAGAACTACTTAGTCAAAAGTATATGCCTTACATATTGCAAAGATCCAAATTACGCTCAACAATAGAAAGCAATCAACACCACAAACACCACATACAGAGGGGCACTGCAGCCGATGGCTAGCGCAAAGAATAGCAGGGCCCTGCAACATAGTCTAAGTATGTCTCTGTCCTTTTTTTTTTTTGGAAAAAAAAAGTGAACAAATATGGGTTGTTGAAGCTATCGTCCGGACGTGAATGTACAATTATTAATTCGACATTTACATCCGGACGATAGCTTCAACGACCCATGACATGAGCAAAAATCCACGCTAGCCATCGGCTGCAAGAGGGGACTGTATCTCCTAACTCCAAATTTAAACGAAGCCCATCTACAAAACAAGAATCATGGCATGCTGTAAAGAAAGCAAAACACAAAACAAAACCAGATATAAAAAATACACTCAACCAACCACCAACCCCGCCACCGCCCCCGCCAACTCGGGCAAGTCCATAAAAGCATAATGATCCGAATCCAACCACAGCTGCGCGCGACGTCGCTCCTCCTCGTCCCGCGGCAGCTTCGACCTGGCGACCCAAACGGGCCCGTCGAACGCCGGCGCCTTGCCCGCGGCGTGGAAGGCGAGGTAGCCGTCGTAAGCGCGCATGTTGGCGGCGAAAAGGTCCGTCAGCCGCTGCAGTGGCGCGCCGCGCAGCGAGGGCGGGATGAGCTCGACGACGTCGCGGGTCGTGCGGGAGATGAGGTCGAGGTCGAAGGACTGCTGCTGCTGCTTCTCTTTGCCATCGTCGGAGCCCGGCTTCTTGACCAAACCCACGCGTTGCAGCGTGCTCACGATATCCGCGGTGCCGATGACCTTGGCACCGCTGGCCAGCAGTAACGCGCCCATCAAGCGGATCGAACGCGCGCCGACGCCTCCTTCTCCCTCCTCCTCCGCACCGCCATCGCCACCGCCAGCCTCCAAACTACACCCCAACACCTGCTCCATCGACACATCCGTCGTCGGCCCGCCATCCAGCAACACCAACCGCTCCGGCTGCTGCACATGCTGCATCTCCAGCAGCCGCGCCATCTCCCACGCGACGCAGCCGCCAAACGAGTACCCCATCAACTGCACGCGGCGACGAACCGTCCCGTCCGCGCGACGACCCAGCAGGCCTTCACGCTGGAGAAGACGGACGTAGTGCGCCGCCATCGACGCGACCGACTCGGCCGGCACGTCGTCCGTCTGCCGCACGCCGACGACGCGGAACGGCAGGCGCGCGGCGAGCTGCTTGACGTGGTGGACCTCCCCCGCGCCGCCGTGGATGACGATGGCGATGGGCGTGTCGGGGTGGCCGTCGTCCGGGACGGCGTTGAGGGGGATGAGGTTTTGTTGTTGCTGCTCGGTCTGCTCGTCCGGCGCTGTGGTGTTGCCTCCGTCGTTGATGCGTAACAGCTCCCGGCGGACGTGCTGGCTCAGCGAGCTCAGCGTCGGGAAGCCGTTGAGCGCCATGGGTGAGATGGCGAGGCCGGGAAAGGCGGCGTTGAGCCGGTTGCCTAGCTCCATTGAGCTGAGCGAGTCGACGCCGTGGTCTTCGAAGCGTGGGTCTGGTTCGGATGACGGGATGTTCGTGCCCGTCACGTCGGCGAGGATGTTGCGGATCGTCGTGGTGATGGAGTCGAGGTCCGGGACCACCACCGCTGCGGCGTGCTGGGTCGCCTTGGGGGCGGCAGATGTTGACTTGCTCGCTTTCGACCGTGCGGCCTTCCGGGCTGGCTTCCGCTTGGGCTCGAGTTGGCGTTGGAGGGCGAGGGTTTTGCGGTATGTGGAGAAGAGCTGCCGGTGTCCGGACTGCGGGCTGTTGACTGCATCTGTCTCTCTGCCGTCACTGTTCGCCAAAAGCTTGGACCATTGGATGGGAGAGCAGAGAAGGTAGCCGGAATGGTGGCTGCAGCCCGCTGTGGCGGCAATGGCAGCGCAGATGGTTCGGTACGCGAGATCGGGCGAGATGCCGCCCAGTCTTTCAATGGCTGCGCGGCCGGGCGGTTGCCTCCGCAGTGTTCCCAAGCCGAGCACCATTCCCCAGGCAAGACTCATTGCCGGGAGTCCCTCATGACGCCACTGGGCCGCTAGTGCATCGAGCGTGGCGTTGGCAGCGCAGTGGTTGCTCTGCGTGGGACTTCCGAGAATTCCGGCGGCTGAGCTGAAGAGAAGGATGAAGTCTGGTTGTGGCACCAGCGCTTGGCGCAGGGTAATGGCTCCGGTAACCTTTGGTGCGATGACGGTGTTGAGCGTCTTCTTGGACTGCTGACGGAAGGGCGCATCGTCCAGTAAGCCTGCCGCGTGGATCACACCCCGGATTTCTGGGCAGCCCTGCTCGCGCAGTGAGGCCAATGTTTGCTCCAAAGCGGTGCCATCGCCAACATTGCATGGAAGGTGTTCTATCTTGGCTCCGATATTGGCGGCTGCGGAATGCAGTTGACGCCAAAGATGAGCGTCGTCCTCTTTTATCGCTCCAGATCGAGACAGCAGTACGAGGTGGCGTGCACCGGCATCCATAAGCGCCCTGGCGGCTACGAGTCCTAGGCCACTGTTGCCACCGGTGACCAGATACGCAGCATCTTTCCGGACCATTGTTGACGTATCTTCCGGGCAGTCTTCCGATGTCGAGCTGTTGCGTGCTACGATAATGGCTGACGACTCGAGTGCTCCATCCAGACGGTCAGCGCGGTCCACCGAGACAAAACCGTTATTCATCAAGACGCTGTTCCAGGTGTCGAATGACAAGAGCGGGTAGTCAGGTCTCAGTTCAAGGTCCTCGAATCTCCACCAGCCGTCAGTGAAGCCAAAGGTGCAATCAGAGATGGCAGATTGGCGTGTAGACTCGAACAGCAGCATGGCACCAGAAGGACGTAGGAGAGAGCGCATGTTGGCCACCGTCTCTTTCATCCGTCGCGTAGCGTGGATGCAATTGGCAGCGAGCACGATGTCGAACTGCGCAGGCTGGAAGCCCTGCGCGGAGGGATCCACCTCGATGTCCAGAATGTCGAAGACCATGGATCTGTTGGCGGGCAAGCGGCTCGCGATGTCCCGCTTCGCCTTCTTGAGGAAGACGCTGCTGACGTCTGTGAAGACGTACTCGAACTCGACGGACTCCAGCACGGGAAGTAATTTGGCGGTGGTGGCTCCCGTGCCGGCACCCACTTCGAGGATACGGAGCTTCCTGCCGCTGGGTCTATCGCGCAGGAGAGAGACCAGCGTCTCCTTGAGCACCGTGTTGTAGTAGTCCAGTGCCAATGATCCCACATAGAAGCCCTCCACCACTTCCATCGCCGCTTCCGAGAAGAGAACTGTCGGTGCCTCGACGCGACCTCTGAACAGGTCCTCGACCTTTCCTTCCATGAGACCCACCAACCGTGCCTCAGGACGCACTTCGGGCCAGGTCTTAATAATTTCTTCAACTCCAAGATGCTCACCATCCTCAGCCCTCTCATCCCCAGGATGAGCATACCTGCCGTACAACTTCCGCCACCGGCCATCCACCTCATCCTCCGCAAGACTTCCAGCAGCCGCGCGAAGCTGGCGAGCGGCAAACCGCGCCACTTGCTCGATACCTTCCTGGTACCTCGACTGATCGAACGCGACGGGAACCTCGGGCTGCGAGAAGCCCGGGGAAGTGTTCGCGGCCGCCGTCGTACGGGGCAGGGTCGCCTGCGGCATCATGCGCAGCACAACCTTACCAATGTGCTTGGCCGTGCGCACATAGCGGAAAGCATCCCTCAACTGCGCCGGGTAGTCGAACGCAGTGACAGGCGGAGGCCGCACGCTGCCGTCCGCCACGCCCTCAGCCAGCCTTGACAAGAACGCATCCATCAGCTTGACGGACGCGGAGCCCGTGACGTCCAGGTCGACGACTCGGTAAACGACGTCCGGACGCGACGCCGCAACCCTGTCGTGGCTCCAGATGGCGACCTTGCCCGTCTCGATGAATGTGCCGCCGGGCTTGAGGAGTTTCAGGGTTTCCGGGATGTAGTCGCCGGCGAGGGTGTTGACGGCCACATCGACCTTCCCCGCGACGTGCTCCAGCTCTGCGGCGAACGCACGCGCGTCCCTCGTCGTCGAAACCATGCGGCTCTCCAACCCCAGCTGATCGCGCAGGTACGCCCGTTTCGCTTCCGACCCCGCTGTGGCGACGACGACCTGCGCGCCGCGGGACCGCGCGATGCTGATGAGCAGGTGACCCAAGCCGCCCGTGGCCGTGTGCACCAGCACCGTCTGCCCCGGCCGCAGCTCAGCCAGCTCGACGAGGCAGTGATGTGCCGTGGCGAAGACGGTGGGCAGGGACGCGGCGTCGACCATGGACAGCCCCTCGGGCATCTTACGGACCAGGCGGGCGTTGCAGCGGACGACGCTCCGCATGCACGCCTCGGCCATGCCGAACACCGTGTCGCCTGGCGATACGTGCTTGACTCCAGAACCGACGGCCTCCACGGTGCCGGCGAAGTCGGCGCCCAGGGCGCTGCTGCCGTGTTGCAGGCCGCCGGCTGCGAACAGGACGTCGTGGAAGTTGATGCCGACGGCGCCGACGCGGATGGATACCTGGTCCGCACCGAGCTCGGCGAAGCCGTCTGGCTCGATCAGTGGCACGGCTTCGAGCGAGTCCAGGCCCGTTGTCGCTACGGCCATGGTCGGGACGTCGAGCTCGCAGAGGCGGTCCGGCACCATCTGAGGCGCGAACCATGTGTCTGTTCCCGCATCCCACGCCAGCTCGGAAAGCGGGCGGCTGGGGGCTTTCAGCCTGCCCAACAGCTTGAGAACGTCGTCCGACTTGCTCGCTACGACGAGGTCAACGAGGCCGATGCGTACGGCCCGGGTGTCTTCGAGGACGACGGAGCGCATCAGGCCCCACAACGCAGCCTGCTGCGGGTGGGCGATAGGGGCCACCTGGCTGGCACGAGTGAGGATCCAGAGCGACGAGGTGGCCGGAGTTCCGGAAGATGTAGCGGCCTCGACCGCAGTGTTGACGAGGTCCAAGGCGGACGCGCACAGATCGGCCGCTGTGCTGGACAGCGAGGGCAGATAGTAAAGCGTCTGCGGAAGCTCCTCGCTGGCTTTGTGCTCCCTTCGAAGCGCTACAGTGACCGACGGCGGTAATTTCGAGGCAAGAGCATCTCGGTCTTGCTCATCCTCGACGACGAGAACGCAAGGCCGAGCAACCTCCTCCAACTCAGGAGCGGTGGGCATCCTCGCCCAGCAGACGGTATGCAGTGGATCAGGGTGCTTGTTCTGGCTCTGGTCCCGGCTCTGCTCGCCCCCCTTGGCTCCCGCGGGACGGAAGACGATTTCCTCGATATCGAACACGGGGTCACTCGCGTCATCGAAGACGGAAAGCCTGGCCTTGACCTCGGCGGCGCCTACTGACACTACCTCCGCCGTCGCTACGAACTCGCGCTTGCGGCTCTCGCGCGGGCGGGGCGCCCAGAACCTAACTCCTGTCATGGCGAAGGGCAGGAAGGTTCGTGCAGCGCCGCGACTTTGCTCCTCTGTTGTAGATAGCTTGGCCAGCACCACAGCGGCGCAGACCTGCATGGCTGAGTCGAGCAAGGCCGGGTGAGCGAGGAAGCCGTCTTCGCCGTTCTCGGCAAGGCTGATGTTACCGTATGCTAGGGCGGCATGCTCGTTGATCGAGGTGTACGCGCGCTGCAGGCTGCGGAAAAGGCCGGTGTAGCGGATGCCGACGTCTTCGAGTTTTTGCCACACGGAGTCGATGTCTACTGCTTGCTTGCAGGCGTCTTGGTGCCGCCGCATCCGGTCCAGCATGACGGTTCGTTCGTCCGCGGACGGGGGGTCTGCAGGTCCTTTGAGTCGTCCGTATGCTGTGATGTGGGACTCATCGTCTTCTTCGTCTACGCCCGCCCACGAAATGGTGAACTGGCCGTCGGCTTCGTGGGCGATCGACATGGTCTTGGACCGCGGCGCCGACACGGTGAATGGTGCTGCAAAGACGATTTCCTGCAGATGAGCCGACGGTGAAGGTCCGCTGCTGGCAACGACGGAGGAAGCCAGCTCTACAAGCATGGCACCAGGGACGGTAGGAATGCCCCTGACGACGTGCTGCTCCAGCAGGGCGAACAGACGGTGCCCGATCAGCACGTCATGCTCACCTCCCATCTTCCATGTGCCGTCCCCTGCTGGCAGACGGCCAAGAAGCGCGTGCGAACCTCCCCTCCGCAGCGGGAAATAGTTGCGGGAGAACACATGGCGCTTCCGCGGCACCAAGCAGCGCTGAGGCGCGCTCGTCGCCGCCTCCAGGACGATGTGCGCGTTGGCGCCGGAGAAGCCGAAGGAAGACACGCCGCACCTGAGCTCCGGGCCGGAAGACGAGCTGGGCACCAAGCCGACGCTGCTGCTGCTGCCCGATCCGGGCACGTTGACCTTGAAGTCTTCGAAGTCGAGGTGGCGGTTGAGCTTCTTCAAGTGTGCGATTGGAGGCAGCACGCGGTGTCTGAGCGACAGGACGGCTTTGACTAGTCCAGCGACGCCGGCTACGCCTTCCAGATGGCCCAAGTTGCTCTTGATGGCGCCTAAATGCAGAGGAGCGGACCTGTTTTCCTGGGCAGCCGGCGTGCCGAAGACGCTCTTGAGCGCGCTGAACTCGATGGGGTCGCCCAGAACCGTGCCAGTCAAATGGCCCTCCACAAACGCGATAGACGAGGGGCTGGCACCGGCATCCTGGAGAGCGCGCTGTATAATTCTTGCTTGAGCAGGGCCGTTGGGCGAGGTGAGGTTAACCGTCGTCCCGTCATGACCAATTGAACTACCAAGAATATCGGCATGTATGTACCGTCCTTGCGCCACCGCGTCTCCGCGACGCTGCAACACCACAGCGACGCAGCCCTCGCCGCGGGCAAACCCGTCCGCACCGTCGTCCAGCGGCCGGCAACGCTGCGAGGCGCTCAGCATGCCGGCAGCACACTCGGCGACGAAGGCGGCCGGCGACATCATGACGTTGACGCCGGCCACGACGGCCGCGTCGCACTGTCCGGAGCGGAGGGCGCCGATGGCTGTGTGCAGCGCGTAGAGCGAGGCGCTGCAGGCCGTGTCGAGGGTGCACGACGGGCCTTCTAGGCCGAGGACGTGGCTGACGCGGTTGGACAGCACGGCGGGGGAGGCGGACGAGGCAGTGAAGGCGCTGGCGCCCTTGTCGCCGCCGCCGGCAGTGAGGAAGAATTGGTCGTAGTTCATGAAGCCGACGAAGACGCCTACGTTCTGGCCGCGCAGGCTGTCGCGGGTGTAGCCGGCGTCGGCGAGCGCTTGGTAGGAGACCTCCAGGAGCAGTCGCTGGTTAGGGTCCATGGTGCGTGCTTCCGCATTTGAGATGCCGAAGAAGCTGTTGTCGAACCACTCAAGTTGGTCTGGCCTAAGGAAGGAACCCTGCCTGACGTAGGATCTCCCGGCTGCCTTGCCATCTGCTGGTGCAGTCTTGGGGGAGTAGAAGTTTTGATCAAGATCCCATCGAGAAAATGGTATGTCACGGAAGGGATCCTCGTCAGAGAGCAGCAAGTTCCACAGGTCTTCGACGGTGTCGGCACCAGGGAGTCGGGCGTCCATGCCCACGATAGATATAACCTTGTCCACAACCTGCGGTCCATTGCGGATCATACAAGAGATGTTTGGTGCAGGATTTTGAATCTGTTGCTGTGGATGAGTTTCTACTATCGGGGCAGCCGGTGCCGGCGGGGCCACAGGCTGCTGCTCAGTCTCATTCATAATGCCAATGAGTTCTGGCAAACCTTCGAGATACTCCTGTAGCCGCGCTAGGGTGGGGTAGTCGAAGACTAAGGAGGCCGAAAGTTTGACACCCGCTCCCAATCTGGACTGTAGACGGTTACGGAACTCAATTGCCGACAGAGAGTCCATGCCAACATCGAAGAAAGTCGACGAAGCGCTCGGCATCCTCGTACCAACAGTAGCTTCGACACAGCTCTGTATCGTCTCAAGCAAGCTAACGGCTGCATTTCCACGTGAGTTAGACATAGGAACAGCCTTTGTTGCTGGTGTACTGCCCGTGGGACGAGGCGGGGCGGCCTTCTGGATGACGGAGAAGGCGCTGACCAGCGATGGCACGCGAGTTCTCATTTTGGTGAAGGTGGACCAATTGAACGGTGAAATGCACATCGGTCCTGATAGTGTGCGAGTATGGTCAGATGCAAAGACGGCCTTCAAGAAGCTCTCAGCCTCCGTCTCAGACACTTGGCCATGACCGAATTTCACAGCGAGCTTATTTGCGCCTTTACGAGCTGCCTCACCAATGCCACTGACTGTACCCCACTGTATGCTCAGCGCGGGTAGGCCGCAGGTACGGCGGTAGGCCGTGAAGGAGTCAAGGAACGCGTTGGCAGCAGCGTGATTGCTCTGGCCCGGCGAACCAAGAAGTGCGGCGCAGGAGGAATAAATGACGAACTGGCGCAGTAGAGGTTCGTCGAGACTGCAAGAGTGGAGATGGCGCAGAGCCTCGACCTTGGCAGCGAATACGGTCGAGATGGTAGCGGGAGTCTGGTTGCGGAGCATGGCATCCCTCAGCGCTCCAGCTGAATGGATGATGCCTTCAACCCACTCGCCACGTTCTCTGATCCCGGCAAAGACTTCAGCCACCTGGACGCCGTTGCTGACATCACATGTAACCTTGACCACCTGGTCCGGCTGAGCCACAGCCATCAGTCTGTCCCACAAATGGGTCGAGTTAGAAGACACCTTTCCGCTCCGGGAGAGAAGGTAGACCTTCCGGCAACCCCGCTCGATCAAGACGATGGCAGTCAGAAGGCCGATACCACCAGTGCCACCAGAGATGATGTAGACGCCGCGCTCCTCACGCTCACGGTCCCTCGAACCATCATCATCCTCCTGGGCGGAAGCCTGCGCGACAATGACAGCCTGCGACTCACCAGCCTTTGGATTCTCCAGCGTCCGCACCCTATCAAAGCCCGTCGCCAGGAGCAAGCCCTCCCACCGCGCCGCCTCCATAAGCGGGTACTCAGGACGCAAGTCCTTGTCGTCAAACCGCCACCACCCCTCGGTCATACCGAACGACGCATCCGTCATAGGACTCGGGCGCGTAAACTCGGAGAGCACCACGACGCCACGCGGCCGCAGCAGCTGCCTGAGGTTGGCCATGGTCTCGCGCAGCACGCGCGTCGCGTGTATCACGTTGACCGCGACGATGAGGTCGAACGACGAGCTGGCTAGCCCTTGGAGACGGGGGTCGCGCTCGGCGTCGAACACGCCGTACGTGATGCGGGCGGCGCCGGGCGACGCGGACAGCTTGCCGCTGCTGGAAGCCTTGCGGATGAAGGTCTCGGAGATGTCGGTGAAGTGGTAGTCGACCTCGATCTCGAGCGCGGCGGCTGTCTCCAGCATCCTTCGCGTCGTGCTGCCGCTGCCCGCGCCGACCTCGAGGATGCGGAGTTTGCGGCGGCGGTCCTGCGGCTGCTGCGACTGCACCAGGGCGGACAGCACGTACGTCACGACGCTGTTGTAGTAGCGGGCGTAGAAGGACTCGGAGTAGATGCCCTCGGTCTCGGTGTGGCGATCCGTGCGGAAGAGGAGCTCTAGGGGATCGCGTTCGCCGCGGAAGACGGCGCCGTGCTGGCCGTACAGGGACTTGAGCATGGCCAGCTCGGAAGTGACCTCTGGGTATTCCTTGATTGCGGAATCAATCCAGGCGCTCGCATCGTCGATGTGAGGTGGCACCAACTCCGACTGGACGCTGCTGGCGGGCATGTTGCGGTACCGCCTCCACAGCTGTTGAACGAGGGGCACGACATCTGCCTCAGAAGAGACGGAAGCAGCGCCCTGGATAAGACTCTGCAGTGCCAGGGAGTTCACAAGGGCATAACCCGTGCGAACGCGTGCCAGTTCGGCATCATTGATATCGACTGGCACCACGGTGTTAAGATCAAGCGTTGTTGGCAGAGCAGTCTCGATGGAGAAATCGAATGCAGGCCTCATCAAATCGATGGCCTCAGCTTCTGTTCCTTGAAATCCTGGATCGGTCAGTCGGGGCACGTAGCGGCGCCCATCGCGCCAGGCCACTTCGTCCTCAGACGCGTCGAGGGCGGCGTCGAGCACTGCCAGGGCCTGCTTCCACGTAGACGCAGTAGGGTCGACATCGAGCGTGACAAGGCGAAGCTGTGGGAGCTCCAGCCGTGCGGATCGTAGCAGACCCCATGCGGCCGAAGACTCGGGTGAGCTGCAAGCGTCGTCCTCAAGCACGAATTGGCTGCCCAAAGTAACTACGACGACTGAACGGAGTTCGGAAAGGGAAGGTGTGTCGAGAATAGCCTGAAACAGGCGACAGAGCTGCGAGGTGATTGTGTATGCTGTTTCAGTTGGGGAACAAACGTAGAGAAGTGTATGAATTGGCTTCTCCGACGTCGTAAAGGGCAACACAACGTCAACGAGGGAACCAGCTCCGCACGCAGTGCGGAGAGAATCACGAAGAGCAGCAACAGGACCACGCCTCGCGAAGTTAGTACCCGTGACAATACCAAGTAACTGATCAATGTCAATGGCCGTCTTCTCCGGTAGACGAGCTGAAGAGGCCGCGGAAAGACTCTGTCCAGGAGCTGGCTGCAGAGGCGCCCATTCGGTCAAGTATAGACACCTCGAGCTGGCGACCAAAGCAACCTGCGACGACACACGCACCAGCCGAAGGGCTTCGAGTGACAGCAGTACGTTGCCCAGTGCGTCGCAAACATCGACGTTGGCTTCGTAGCAGTCTGCACTTGAAGAGACGACACGGGACCACACCCTCACTACGGCGTTGCTGAGGTGCTCGCCCAAGAAGGCATGCACGCGCAGACGCCCGAGCGAGCCCACGGCAAAGGCGTCCTTTCCGGCCATGGAGCTCAGGGTTGCGGCACACGTCTGCATGGCGCTGTCGAGCACGCCCGGATGGACAACATAACCAGACGAGCCAGACGCCGGCAGCCGCAGCTCAGCCAGGCACTCGCCGTCGCGGCGGTGTGCGCTCACCATGGCTTGGAACTGCGGGCCGTACGCCAGTCCGCGAGCGGCGAGCTTCGAACGGAGATCAGTGACGTCCACGGCGTTGGTACACCGGTGTTGGATGGTGGCGAGCCGCACGCGTTGATGCCACTGCGTGGGCTCGACACGGACTACTATGGCGCGGGCATGCTCGACGAACTCGTGAGATGGGTCTGCTGCCGACATTACCTGCACCGTTCCATCAGTGTTGTTGTAGGTCAGCTGTAGCCACGGTGGTTCCATATCCGCAGCCAACACTACTGGCCGTGAGATGACGGCGTCACGTAGCTCCATTGGCAGCGCCTCGAGAGGGTGAAGATTGTGAAGGACTTGGTAGCCACCCAACGCCAGGTCGAAGACGGCAGCTCCAGGTAGGATTGGGCGCCCGCGAACGACGTGATCAGCCACGAGCTGAATAGTGCGGTGGTTAACTCTGAAGCGCACGGCACGCGTTTCCGCATCCAATTGAAGTATCTCGGGGCTGGTGATGAGAGCGTGGTAGCCACGACGCCACGGGAAAAACCCTTCGCGGCGCCCTTGGCCAACAAGCACAATGTTGCTGCCGGTAGGGTCGCATTCGCCTTCCTCACCGTCCTCGAAGAGGTCATCGCGCTTGCCGAAGTGCTGCTCGTTTGCTTTAACTGCCGCCTGGAGTGTGGTAAGCGTGATCCCTGACTTCGTGGCTACGCTCGATGAACCCAGTAATGCGCACGGCGCGGGCAATCCTGGCGGCACCCTTGCCCAACGCCGCATCATGTCGTAGAGAACGCTCTTGGGACCTACTTCCAACAGTCGCACTCTACCTGCGAAGGCCTCTGAGACTGCTCGCACAGTTGGCTCGTAAAGTACAGCCTGTAGAGCGTGCCTTACCCAATGGTTGACATCGGGAGCAGCAGCGACCTCAGCAGCCGTCACTGTAGACCAGAAGCGTACGGTAGTAGGCACACCGGCGTTCAGGCTTTTGATACGCTCCGCGAATTCCTCCATACAAAGCCTCAGCAGCGGCGAGTGGAAGGGCCGGCTCACCTTGAGAGGAGCGCTGGTGACGCCTTGCCCCAGGTGGCTCAGCAAACGCTGCAGCGACTCGTGCAAGCCAGCCACGGTGGTGAGATTGCTGCCGTTGATGGCTGCCACAGCTGCCGTCTCGCCTAGTCCCAGCTCGTCGATGGCGGCCTGGATAGTGGCGTGCGGCAGCATGATGGCGTACATGGTTCCTTCAATGTCTGCTTGTTCCATGATGATGCCACGCTGACATACCAGCCGAAGGCCATCTTCCAGACTCAAGCAGCCCGACACTACTGCCGCCACGATTTCGCCAATCGAGTGGCCGAGAACCACGTCGGCCTGCAGGCCACGCTCTACAAGGGTCTGATAGATTGCGTACTCCATCACGAACAGACTCGCTTGAGAGGCCTGTGCCGGTTTGATGGCCTCGGATCCATCTACGTTAGGCTCCAGCAGCGCATTGCGTAGGTCTTCTGGTGCAATCCACGGGGAACATATCTTGACGCAGCGATCTAGAGTTGCGGCGAACACGGAATCATCGCGGTACAGCTCCTTGGCCATGGAGGCGAACTGGCTGCCCTGTCCAGTGAAAGCGATGATAAGCTTTTCCTCGCCATCAGTCCCGGTATTGCGCTGAACGTCAACATCGGGAATCTTCTCGATCTCCTTCTTGATCTCCTTCTTGACCTCCTTCTTGACCGGCTTTGGTACACGACTGCATGCCTGTGCCGGCGGAGATTCGACAATGATATGGACGTTAGTACCGCCGAAGCCAAACGACGAACACCCGGCCACCACCGACCTGTCCGGCCCGCGGCCGACGTCTTCGACGCGCTCCGGAAGCCGTGCCACCTCGAAGCCTTCGAATTCAATGCCCGGGTTGATATTATCGAGGTGGATGTTCGGGGGAACCTGGCGTTGCTGCACCACGTTCACACACTTGATCAAGCCCGCAATACCTGCTGCTGCTTCAGGATGCCCGATATTGGTCTTGACAGCACCGAGGTACAGAGGACGAGTGCGAACGGCGTCTGTTGCAGCAGCCTTTCGCTTGCGCGTCGGCGCCCCGAAGACGGCCTTGAGCGAATGGACCTCGACGGGGTCACCCAGAGCGGTGCCGGTACCGTGGAGCTCGACGAAGTCGACTTCATCCGGCCGACGGCCTGCATCACGGAGAGCCCTCAGTACGACCTCCTGCTGCGCCTTTCCCGAAGGCGCGCTGATGTTCGTCGACCGGCCGTCCTGGTTGGAACACGAGCCGGTGATGACGCCCAGCACGGGATCCCCATCGCGCAGCGCATCCGAGAGCCGCTTGAGGATGACGACGCCGCAGCCCTCGGAGCGGACGTATCCCTTGGCATCGCGATCAAAGGTCTTGCAGAGGCCATCGGGCGAAAGCATCTTGTTTTGACAGAAGACAACGTACGGGTCGGGGTGGAGGATCATGTTGACACCGCCGGCGACGGCCATGTCAGTCCTCCCGAGCCTCAGCGCCTGGACAGCGAGGTCGACAGCAACCAAACTGGAAGAGCACGCCGTGTCGATGCTCATGGACGTGCCGCTCAGGCCAAGCTCGAAGGAAATTCGGTTCGACACAATGGCGGCCGCCGCCCCAGTGCCGATGAAGGCTCCATCTAGGGGAGCCACCTTCGCCCAGTCCTTGCAAGAGACGCCGATGTAAACAGATGCATCCCTCCCTGCCATATCTTTCCGGGAATAGCCTGCATCCGTGAGGGCCGAGTCGACTGTTTCGAGCAGGATTCTTTGCTGTGGATCCATCTGTTGCAGCTGCACCTCGGGAATCGAGAAGCGGGACCGGTCAAAATGCTCCGCCCGATCCAGAAAGCCTCCTCTGCGCACATATGTCTTGCCCTTGGCCAGTGCGTCTACGTCGCCGTCGTAAACCTCGTCGACGTCGAAACGAGATAGTGGGATGTCCACCATGGCGTCTCTTCCGAGCTTCAGACCTTCCCAAAATTCATCGCTCGAGTTCATGCCACCCGGCATCCGGCAGTCCATAGCAATCACGGCAATCTTGTTGCATCTACCCTCAGGAAGAATATCGGGAACGCCATTCGGAGCGGTGGTTGGGAAGTGTGATTGAACTGTTGCGGGTAAGGAGATATCTCTCACCGCCGGTGCAGCGGTCGTTAATGATGGTGGAGCAGCGCGCGCAGCTTCCTCTTCTTGCTCCTCCTCTACTTCTGCCAGCATTGTTGCAATGGCCTCGGCTATAGCTCTGGCAGTAGCATACTCGTAGATGTAGGTGCTCGGTAAAGGAGCCAGTGGAAACAATCTCTTGAGCCCCGCGCGCAACTCAACGACAGCCAGGGAGTCGATACCCGCCTGCATGAGAGGGTCGTCCGCGTCTACTGATCCAGAAGATCCTAGCAGTGCTTCGGCCTCGGCGATGACAACGGCTATGATCGTGTCGATCGAGGGTACGTTGCTCGCCCTTGTTGCCGTTGGTTTTTTCACACCGTTGGTGATCTGCGTAGATTTGCTGGATCCGGAGACAGTTTTGCCCGCCGTAGAGGCTTTAGTTGTTATGGTCTTCGTGGTTTGCTGTTGATTTCGAGCCGCTTTCCATGCACTAATAAAGTCGAGAACGGCAACCTTCTTGGAACGGAAGTCGCAAGAACGGATGGCTGTGGCGATTGTGGATTTGGCAACTGCGCTGGGAAGGCCACTTTCCTCACCCAAGTGCCACCGAGCCAGCAATGTTGGCAGGCCTAAGCGGCCCCGGCGGAACCGTACGAATGACTCCAATGGATCCTGAAGAGGGTGATTGCCCTTGTAACCAATGCCATGAAGAATGACCAGCCGCCTTGGGATCCTATCCAAACGGTCCAGGTCGACGTGAAGTTGTTGCAAGGCTGTAAATATAGAGGGCTGCGGGCCGCCATCTTTCGTGACCCACACCACGCCTCGAACATCACCGCCCTTCAGTAGTGACTGCACCTCTTGGGTGATGATCTCGCTTCCACGCGTCCCCTCAAAGACTTGGAGGTCCACGCCTGCTTCATGCGCCAGCTGGAACGCTCGATCCTCCTCATCCTGCGCGTACGAAGCCGCACCCCCAACTCCAAAGCGGACCCAGATCAACCGCCGGGCATCAAACGTCCCAACAAGCTCCTGCGCAGCGAGGGCAGTTACGCGGTCGCCCTGCTCTCCAGCAAGCACATACCAGCCCTCACTCTCCTCCCGCAAGCGCATCCCGATAGCACCATCCCCAACACCCCACGCCACACCCTTCTGCGCCACAAACACCGCCTGCTGATCCAACGCGCCGCCCGCAGGCGTACAAGCCGACCAAGCGAACCCCGTCCTCCCCAACGCCTGCTGCCACCCGCGCGGCGGCAGCGTCGGATATCCACCGGGGCGAAAAACATCCTCGGACTCGGCCGCCCACCACCCCTCAGTCAGCCCGAACGTCGCATCCAAGAACGCCGACGCCTGCGTCGTGATCTCCTGCAGCACGAGCGCGCCGCCCGGCGCCAGCAGCGCGTGGACGTTGGCCAGCGTCGCGGCCACGCTCGGCGTGGCGTGCAGCACGTTGACGCAGACGACGACGTCGTACTCGCCCGCCGCGAAGCCTTGGAGGGAGGGGTGGCGGGCGGCGTCGAAGGTCTGCGTGCGGAGGAATGGGAACGAGGCGCGGTGCCGCCGCGCGAAGGCGTGGACGAAGTGCGCGCCGAGGTCGGTGAAGGCGTATTCGGCGCAGAGGCCTGGGTGGTCTTGTTGGAGGAGGCGGAGGAGGGGGAGGGCGGTGCCGCCGGTGCCGGCGCCGACTTCGAGGATGCGTAGACGGCGGCCGGGGGAGCGGGAGGAGGCGAGGGTGCAGAGGTGGGAGATGGTGCGTTCGACGACGCGTTTGTGGACGCGTGCGAGGACGGCTTCGTCGTAGACCTCCGCCGCCGCTCCTCCTCCTCCGGATTGCAGGGCGGCGGCGCTGTTGGCTGCTGTGTCATTCTTGCCGAAAAGGACGTCGAGAGGTGCGAGACGGCCAAGAAGGACGTCGCGGTGGCGCCCGAGGACGTTGCCTAGGAGCGCAACAGAGGGGCGGAGCGGCGGGCATTCCGTATAGAGCTCCTCGAGCTCGGCCTGTAGCCGTCCGGCATCTGCGATGGCCGAGTGATCGGAGTACTGTTGTCTGGAGTACCGCTCACACAGCTGCTTGAGGTGAGCAGGTACGGAGTGCTGCAGGTCCTGCTGGCTCAGCGAGGCAACAGCAGCAACCAAAGACTGCTCCGCCAGCCGGTCCAGCTTCGCGAACACCCTCTCAAACGTCGCAGGGTCGACAACAGACCGCAAAGCCTCCGTACAGGCATCAGCGAGCAGCCGCTCCATCTCGAACACCTGCTCCCTCTCCCGGAAGCAGGCCGCAAAGGGGGCCTTCAGCATCGCCTCCTCATCGCCAGCAGCGTCCACTACGCGCCCGGACTCGACCCACGCGGGCTCGAAGAGCCTCGAGCCATCGCGCAGAGCCAGGATGCCACCACCGCGGCTGCTGTTCTTGTTGAAGACGCTGCTGCCACCATCATCCGGCAGCAAGAGTAGCCTGCAGAGCGCGTCGGCGCCCTCGCTGGTCGCGGCGCGCGCATCGACGTCGACCTGCCACACTTCAAGCTGCTGCGAGCTGGCATAGCAGCTCACTATCTCCGCGGCGCCCACGCTATCCGCTTCGACCTGCCTATCTTCGTAGCCAGTGACGGCGAGCACGCCTTGCGTGACCAGGATGACCCGGGCGCCGGCCGAGGTTGTCGCCAGCCGCTCGAGGAGCTCCTGACATGGGTTACCCGGCGCTCTGGGGAGGTTGTCAGCGGTGGCGATGGAGGCGAGGTCGACGATGATGGTGGTGGAATCCTGCCGGGAGTGGAGTAGCGTGGTTGGAGAGAACGATTTGATGTCGTGGCGCTGGACATCCAAGCTAGTGGCCTGCAGTTTTGTGTGCAGGTCGTCGATTAGCCCGCTCGCGGATCCTTGGAGGAGGAGAAAATGATGGCGGGCTCTGCCGTTGTGGTGCAGGTGGGTTGGTGACGATGAAGGTACGTCGCCGACGTGCACCCAGTCCACGTATCGGGGCCGGAGAGCAGGTACAACTTGCTGGGTGTTGTTGTTGGCTGGCGTAGCAGCAGCGACCCTTAAGGCTGCGTTCCAGAGCAAGAGACGCTCGGATCCGCGAGATACTGCGGCAGGGAGCACAGCATGAAGTGCTACAGATATAGCCACTTCTCCGCTATCCCGCCCGGCATTTTGGCGAGAATTTATGTTGAAAAGAAGCTCGAATTGGGCATTGTGCGGAGAGTAAAGACCACGCAAGAGGCGCTGTTGCAGACTGAGAAGGTTTTGCGCATGGAAATTCTGGCGGTCAAGAGCGACAAGGCCCACTGCACTCCAATCCGTCGTGGAGCCAGCAAAAGCGTAGGCGATGATGCGATCAAAGACGTAGGCGAGGAGACGCTCGTCGAGGGAGACTTCTTCTCCGTCCGCTGCTTCCCCGCACAGCATCTCAGCTATTTCATCCGGAACCAATTCAGCGTGGTAGTTGGGATCTGCTTCCAAGGCCACCGGAAGTGCGGAACCCATCATGCCGGTAGTCAACAGCGGCATCGGTGGGTCATTCTCGCCGTCATCTGGTCCATAGACAACAAGCTTCTCGTCTTCCCCGATGTCGACCACGTATTCCAGATCAGTCGGCGAGTGAGACTGACGGCTCAAAATGTTCCGGATAGAATCAAGGTGGAAGACGGAATCGAACAGAGATTGCACATCTTGTGTGCGTCCATGCTGCTGATTGGTGTAGGCGTCTGCAGCGAGGAAGGCCATGCTGTTCAGCCTGGCCAGCATGTAGCCGACATCCTCAGATTCGGCCATGGCCTGTGCAGTAAGGAATGTTTTTCTGTTGAAGATTGTGAGGTAGGCTCGGGGTAGAGACGGTTAGTATGGTGGTATTCCTCTGCCCAAAGCGCCTCGGAGCATCCTCTGGGGGACGAGGGGAAAGATAGTCTCTTTTTGTAGCAAGTAAGATCTATGGATATGGTGGGGGAAATAATACGAAAGAGCGATCGCGAGGTGCTGACTCGTTGGACGCCCTCGTTCGGCCTGACGGACGGACGTATGCAGAGTGCTGCTGGCTGGGATCGTGTTGACACATACACACATCGTCCGTCTCGACCGCATCGCGCGATGACATGGCTCGGCTAATCAGGAAACAGGTAAACGAGAAGTCCATGTTACCCACAGGCCTCCATTGCCGCACGGTTGAAGATGATCAGAGTCAGTGTGAAATTCAGATTTGTGGTTCGGAGCTTGATGTGAATATTGGTGTGGAATATAGACTGATAGGGGTTGCAGTGCGAGAAGTAGATGTCTACTCCTCGCAAGATAATTGGCCAGGGGAACATTTTCGGTGACGTTTGCCTTTGACCTTGAGTCGTTTGGCCCACAATACTTGAAGCGTCGCGAACGTCGCCTGCGGAGGTTTTGCTCTGTGCTGTTGCTGAAATTCGCCGAAATGCAAAAAGAGCCGAAGCTCGACATCAGCTTAGGGATTCGAAGGGAATGTCCAGACGTAGATGCGAATTTCAAATGACGCAAATGTGTCCAGACAGTAGATTGAACTACCCACGTAAGCGGGGGGTTATTAATTCAGCAAAGGATCTGGAGATATCTTGTTCGTCATTGGGTGCGGCGGCGAAAGGGGTTAGCGAGCGGCATATGCAAATGCGGGGCCCGGCGGTAAGGAACAGTGACCTGTGGAGAGAATTACGAGCAGCGAGCAATGATCTGATACTAGCGTTGAAACGTGGAATGCGTTTGAACTGGCCGACTCCATCTGGCGAGGTGGTGTGGGCGGCCCCGCGTCACGACTCGCTGATGCCAGCCTGAGCTCGAGTCAGCCTCTTCGTATGGGAGCTTCCGCTACACACACTAGCTTTCTTGTCAGGATAACTCCATAAAGAGTCCAAGATGCTAGCACCTCTTGCAAAAGCACGTTCCTCCCCGTGATTGACTTCATCCATCAACTGGATAATCCGGAGGGAACATCACCAGCTTCACCAACAGAAGAGCAACAACAACAACAAAACCTACCTTTGCCTCGCCATTCTGAGGCACGATATCACTGGAGTACACGAAGCACACATCAGGACCCCTCTCCGAGCTCTCCGGGCGGAATCTTCATCAGAGACCGCCGAGATGGACTCGATCGAGGAAATCCAACAAAAGGTGGCCGGCGTTATTGCTGGCGTGTTGGAAGACAGCAGCTTCGTAGGCGGTGATGCAGATCGCAGCATCTTATACCGCGGTGTTGACTCCCTTCGCGCTCTCGAGCTGAGCGCCTGCCTGCAAACCGAATTCGACTTGGGCCCGGATGAGGTTCCTAACACTTTCGTCTTTGAGAATCCCACCGTCCGCCAGGCGGCCGAAACCATCGCCGCAGCGATCCGCGCGACGGCATCGGCGTCCACCACCTTGGAGTTCGGCTCGCCCACACCATTGAGCAGCGGCGATGATGAAGACGATAACCAGGCCGGTTCAGAAAAGGCTCGCCTGGCCATTGTTGGCATCTCCTGCCGCCTCCCTGGCGGTGCCGTCTCCCCAGAGCGCTACTGGGATATCCTGAATGAAGGTGTCGACGGCGTGACCGAAATTCCCGCCCACCGACTCGACCTGGATCGTCTGGTTGCGGAAGCCAAGGTGTACGTCCGCAAAGGCGCCTTCGTCTCCGACGTGGAGCATTTCGACCACGAATTTTTCGGCATCCCCGCGAGCGAGGCAGAAGCCATGGATCCGCAGCAACGCCTCACCCTCCACGTCGTCTACGAGAGCTTGAGCCGCGCCGGCTGGAACAAGCAATCCCTGGCCGGGCTTGAAGCCGGCGTCTTCGTCGGAAACAGCGCCGTGGAGTGGTCTGACGTGCAGCCGGAAGCGGCCTTGCACGGTGTCTACGGCCGCTCTGGCACAGCCTCCGCCGTGCTGGCTAACCGCGTCTCCCACGTCCTCGGTCTCGGAGGTGTCTCGGTCACTGTCGACTCTGCATGCTCCTCATCCCTGGTAGCTGTGGATCTCGCGTGCCAGGCTCTCCGCGAGGGCAGGTGTCAGGTAGCCGTGGCGGCCGGCGTGCATCTTCACCTCTCAGAAAGGCGCTGGATCCAGCTTTGCAGCACCAAAATGCTCTCCCCGAGCGCACGGTGCCGCGCATTCGACGCCCAGGCTGACGGCATGGTGCGAGGAGAAGGCGTCGCCGCAGTTGCAATCATGCCGCTTCACTTAGCCTTGGCCCAAGGTCGCCCGGTCCACGGCGTAATTCTGGGCTCTTGGGCCAACCACGCCGGAAAGGCTGCTAACATCACCACTCCCACGGGCCAGTCGCAACGCAGAGCCGTCAGCGCTGCCTTGCGGAGTGCCAAGGTGCGCCCCAGTCAGGTTTCCTACGTAGAAGCTCACGGGACTGGCACTGCCCTCGGCGACCCCATCGAACTGGGCGCACTTGCCAGCGTTTTCTCTGCGGATTCCGCTGTTGGAGGAGATGATGCCAAGTCTTCGAATGAAGAGGAGCTGGTCATAGGCTCCGCTAAAGCAAGCATCGGTCATCTGGAATCAGCTAGCGGCCTGGCCGGCCTAATCAAGGCTATTTTCGTCCTGAAGCAGCAACAGGCAACACCACAGCTGCACCTCGGGGGCCTCAATCCCGAGATTGAGCGGGCGACTCGAGGCTTCCACTTTCGTATAGTGACTCCGGAATCCGAGAGTCGATATATTGCTCCTAAGGGTCAGTTGACGGACGAGGGGAAGGAGACTTACGGCGTTGTCTCCAGCTTTGGATTCTCCGGCACCAATGCCTGCGTTGTGCTCGCTGCGCCCCCGGGACTGTCATCCTCAAATTCGCCTGATGCCCCTATCACCAGCTCGTTGGGACCAGGCGTTGGAAAACGGTTCCTCATGACGCCTTCCGGGAGAGAGCATCCGTTGCTACTGAGGTCGGAGTGCGAGCTGCTCGATTCGGACGAGAAGTTGGTTGCCTCTACCTTACGGCTGGGGCCTTACTCTGCAGTCTGGGACGACCAGCTGGTACACCGTGCTTTCGGGCCACGCAAGCGGTCCTTCCCATTTTCTGTCATTCTCGAACTGATCCTTGCTACTGCCTGCAGGGCACTCAGTGCAGATAGATTCGGCGTCACTATTGAAGATCTGGACATCCACGACAAGGCTAGAGTTGCTTTTCTGGCAGAAGGAGATGTCGTTGGATGTTTCATCGATAGCGAGACACAGAGTTGCGCAGTTTTCTTAGCGCCAGCGGCGGGCGTTGGGTCATTTTCCGTGCTGGTACGGTGTCGGGTTCGCGCAACGGCACAAGAAAGCATCTCTCAATCTCTTTCTCTGCGGGCATTCAGCCAAATTCCGGCGCGCATAAAAGAGCACTTGGCCGATTTGGAGAGAGTTCCGCTTCCGGCCTTATACGACCGCCTAGACCGCCTTGGGTATTCCGTCGGTAGCGAGGCTCGGAGGATCACACGGCTCTTCCGGTCAAATACTGATTCTGCTCCCCGGCGGAGAGTGGTCGCATTTGTACCGTTTAGCCATGCCGATGCGGGCTTTCTTGTGCATCCAATGGAATGGTCGAGCATTGTACAAGCCGTGCTCTTTGCTGCTGGCGATGAAGAGAAGTCGCTGTACCTTCCGTCGGTTGAAGAGAGCTTATCCAATCTGTCTCTCCCGGCCAGACCGACTGGACAAACCGGCCCACGTTGGGTTATGGCGGAGGTATTGCCCTGCCCTGATGGCCGGATGATTGCGAATGTTACGGTAATCCACCACGACAGCGAAGATGTTGTGCTGCAGGTAGACGGTCTTTCTCTCGTGCAGATGAGCCAGAGCCAGCTTAACCAGCGGTCCGACACTGGCGACGTTTCTGGGGCCGAAGTGTATGTGTCCGACTGGAAGCATCTCAGGATCGCCGACTTCCAAGTAGCAACCAGCATCGCTGAAACGGAATCAAAGAGCATGTTGATGGTTTCTTCCATTCTGCAAGCCGCTGGGGAGGAAAATACTCTCACAGATGCTCTCCATCAAGCTTTTCCAAACTCAATACAGACGCACAAGACAGTACCTTGGGAGCAACTGACACCAGGAGGTACTGCACCGCTGCTGATTGTCCCACTACCACGTTTGCAGATGGATTCAGCAAGCACAGACGATGCGAATCCAAGTACCTGGGCGGCGCAAGCAATGGCTTTAGTTCACTTCTTTGGCGACTTGGCATCGCGGTCGACCGAGACATGGAAGCCCACCGTAGTCCTGGTGGGAAGCGGAATAATGAACACTCCGGACGACGACACTCACTCGTACGGCGCACAGGCAGGCTACCTCGGGATATGCAGGACGGCCCGCTCCGAGTACGAGAGCATCGACGTCCGTTTGATCGACGTGCAGGCATCAGGGGAGGAGGAGGCGGGCCGAGCCTTGACCGCCGAAGACGCATCAGCACTATCCGCTGTTTTCGGCTGGATCCAGGATCATCCTGACTTGTCCCGGCTCCTGGGACCCGAGATCGCCATCCGTCGAGGCGAGGTCTACCTGCCGCGCCTCGTGCCGCTCGATCCCTGCCACACACGCACACACAGCTCTGTTGGAACTGATGCGTCTGCAGCTGTCAGTCTTAATGTTGCCTCGCCGCAGGAAGGGACAGCGTGGAAAGGCATGACACAGCTCGTCCAGCATGCCGCCAAGCAGCAATCCGAGGTTGAGTTCCTTGTTCTTCTGGAACCATCCGCTCCGCTAGTCAGCGGAGAGAATGATGGCTTGCCAGCCGGCGTGAGGATCACATACGCCTCGTCGTGTCCCTCCACGATCGCCCGCCAGGCGCTACAGCCATGTTTCCGGCCGACGCACGACAAGCTGTGCCGCCTACCGAATGAGGACCCGACTGCCCCTAACCTCTTCGACTACGCACACTTCGACGTCATTCTCGTTTCAGCGTCCAGCGCCGATCTGTCGAAGGCGGCATCTTGCCTGCTACCCGGCAGCATGATGCTGGTAACTTTGGAACCGGGGTCCGAGGATGCTGGCGCGGAGGCGGTGGCTGCCGAGCTCTCCCGGCTTGGCCTCTCCGTAACCCGGACCGATACTCGGGGAGGGATCCTTGCAGCGGCCCGGCCCGACGCGAGCGGCACGACCGTCACTCCCGCTGCCTCTTCCGACATCATATCCGACGGCGACCGTGGCTGCTTCGTCGTTACGGGCGGCACGGGTGGCCTCGGGCTGCTCTCTGCCCAGCATCTGATCCGCCAGGGTGCTACCCGCGTCGTGTTCCTATCTCGCAGCGGGCGTCCTGCGCCTGGCTGCGAGCAGCTCTTGCAGGAAGTGCTCTCAAACAAGGGCGCGGAGGTGCACGTTGCGGAAGCCGACATTTCCGATGCCAGCGCCCTGTCACGGCTCCGCGAGACGCTGCGGCAGAGACAATGGCTGCCTGTGCGTGGCATCGTTCACGCTGCCGGCGTGCTTGCGGACGCTACTCTGGCCCGCCTGGACGCTGGCAGCTTTGACGTCGTCAATAAGCCCAAGATCGTAGGCACGCGTCGCCTGCTCGAGCATCTTTGCGGCGACCCTCACAGCGGCGATGTCGAGTTCTTCGTCGGCTTCTCGTCCGTGGCGACCCTTCTGGGATTGCCGGCACAGGCTAGCTACGCAGCCGCGAACGCCCAGTTGGACGCAATCGTAGCCCAGATGCGTGTGGTCCATGGAATTCCCGCAGCCACTGTGCAGCTGGGTGGTGTGTCCGATGTAGGCATGAGCGCTCGCGTTGCCGACCATGTACATGCTTGGGGCGTCGGCCAAATAGCAAGTGGAGACTTTGGCGCGATGCTCCAAAAGGTTATCCAGATGGCCAAGCTGCCGCGCCATCGCACTCTAGTTGCCGCGAACTTGGATTGGAAGACACTACACTCGACTCGCAAGCCTCAGCAGAACCGCCTCCTATCCGCTTTCCTACCAGCGCCGCAGAAACCGGCTGGACAGAAGCGTTCCCAGAAACAAGAGAGCAGCAACACAGCAAGCACCACGGCAGTGTTACAGCCAGCCATGTCGCTCGAGGAGGTGGAGCAGATTGTGAACCAGACTCTGGAAGACGTTGCAGGGTTGCAAGTAGGGAAAGAGGAGTCACTGTACGAATGCGGCCTCGACTCCCTATCTGCCGTCCAGTTCAGGAACGTGCTCGCCCAGCGCTTCGAAGGCGTCGAGCTGGCTCCAACCCTCGTGTTCGACTATCCCACCGTCGACCACCTAACGCAATACATCCACCAACAGCTGCAGCAGCGTGCCGCAGCCGCTCGCCCACCACCACCTCCCCAGTCGATACCATCCGCCCCCGCCGCCACCAGCGGCGTCCCCACATCCAACGGGGACAACATGGACGGCGCAGTAGCGGTCATCGGCGTCGAAGCCCGCATGCCCGGCTCAGCCAACAGCTTCGACGAGTTCTGGGCGAACCTGTGCGCGGGCGTCGACGGCATCGGCGACGTGCCGTACGCGCGCTTCGACGCCGACGACTACCTCGACGACAACCAGCTGGCGGGCGGCAAGACGGCGTACGTGCTGCGTGCGGGCTTCGTCGACGGCGTCGAGTGGTTCGACCACGAGCGCTTCGGCATCACGCCCATGGAGGCCAAGGTCATGGACCCGTCGCAGCGCGTCATGCTCGAGACGGCGCACCGCGCCTTCGCGGCCGCCGGCTACGACAAGGACGCGCTCAAGGGCTCCAAGACGGGGGTGTTCGTGGGCAGCTTGTCGCCGGACTGGCGGCAGGTGTTGACGGAGCACACGGCGTACAGCGGCACGGGCAGCGCGCTGTCCATCATCGCGAACCGCGTGTCGTACGTGCTGGGCCTGGTGGGGCCGTCCATGGCCATCGACACGGCGTGCAGCTCCAGCCTGGTGGCCATGCACCTGGCGCTGCAGAGCATCCGCGCGGGCCAGTGCGAGATGGCGCTGGTGGGCGGCGTGCAGACGATCCTCAACGTCGCGCCCTTCATCAACGGCTGCAAGGCGCGCATGCTCTCGCCCGACGCGCACTGCAAGTCCTTCGACGCGAGCGCGGACGGCTACGTCAAGGCTGAGGGCTGCGGCGCCCTCGTCATCAAAGACCTCGCCGCAGCCCGCCGCGACGGCGACCGCATCCTCGCCCTCGTCCGTGGCTCCGCCGTGAACCAGGACGGCCGTTCTGCCAATCTCACCACGCCGTACGGCCCGTCGCAGCGTGCTCTCATGGAGCAGGCGCTGCAGGGCGCAGGCGTCTCACCCGACGACGTGTGCTATATCGAGACCCATGGTACCGGTACGCCCCTGGGTGACCCCATCGAGGTCGCCGCAATCCGCGAGGCATTCAGTAGCGAGACGCGCGCTGCTCAGCGCCGTCCGCTATACCTTGGTGCTGTCAAGTCGGCCATCGGACATCTTGAGGGTGCAGCTGGCATCGCCGGGCTTGTCAAGGCTGTTGGAGTCATGTCCCATAGGCAGCTGCCGCCGAACCTGCACTATCGCTCCCTCAACCCGTATATCGACCTCAAAGACGCAAGCGGTTGGATCCGCATTCCCACCGACGTCGTTGATCTGGCGAATGCAGATAGAGAGCGTCGGCCCCTTGTCTGTGGCGTCAGCGGCTTTGGCTTTGGTGGCACGAATGCACACGTCGTCCTGCAAAGCTATGACGGTGGCGACCAGAGAAAGGTAGAGACGAGGACAGAGACTCAGCCATCAGTGCAGCCGATCGATAAGGTTGCGTTTCTGTTCCCTGGTCAAGGCTGCCAATTCGTTGGCATGGGTCAAAAGTTGTTCGGCGCTGATCGAGCATTTGCGGACGCGGTTGAGCGTTGCGATCGGATCATGCAGGAGCAAAGACTCCTTGATGGCAAGAGTCTGATACGGGACGTTCTGTGGCCTTCGGTACCGCAGGACCCGCCGTTGGTGGAGGACGCGCGGTTCACGCAGCCGGCCATCTTCGCCATCGAATACGGCCTCGCCGAGGCATTGGCGGCGCGCGGAATCCGCCCAGCTGCCGTCCTAGGCCATTCCTTCGGAGAGTTCGCAGCCGCCGTGACTGCGGGCATAATGACGCTAGAGGATGCCGCGAAGCTGGTTGCCGTCAGGGCCAGAGTGGCTGCGGACATGGTATCGACCGGAGCCATGTTCCTCATCCACGCCCCTGCAGAGACCGTGCAGAAGGCCGTTGACTTGTTCCATCAATCCAACAGGTCAAAGGACCAAGTGGCAATCGCAGCCACCAATGGCCCGCGGATGACCAATATCGCCGGCACCGAGGAAGCTTGCGAGGCGGTTTGCAAGGCCGTCAGGGCTCCCAAGGTTCGACTCGCCATCCCGCACGCCTTCCACTCCCCGCTCATGGAACCTCTCCGGGAACACATGAGCCGCGATTTGCAGGGCGTACGGCTTGCAGCACCGTCGTTGCGCTTCTTCCCTACCGTCGCGGGCCACACCGACGCAGATACCAGCAAGCCCTCTTCATCGCCGGCGCGTGAAGCCGAGTACTGGCTGGATCAGGTAGTGCGCGGCGTGGACTTCATGGCGGGTATGCGGCGCTTGGCTGAGGCAGGGTTCGATACTTTTGTCGAAATCGGTCCTCGACCAACGCTGATCAAGATGGGCCAGCGTTGCATTACTGCCGATGCACAGGGTCCTCAGCGTCATTGGGTGGCGGCGTTGCATGATGAAGGCCCGGAAGCAGAGTTGCCCTTGGACCACCTTGAGCAACTTGCCAAAATGCTTTCAGAGAAGAAGCAGAGCGGACAGAAGATGAAGGTTCAGGGCGGAGCTAGGCGCTTCTGGAGACCACTCCCGCACCGCATTGTAAAGCAGGTGGTTCCAATATCAGAGAAGGGTGTTTTCACATTTGAGCGCAAGTTGGGCCGGTATCTCGGCAAACTACTAGAGGAGCATCGAGTCAACGGGATCGCCGTTGTTCCCGGGGCCCTCTACATTGACACCGCCTTGGCCCTGTTTGCTGGTGCGAGGTCGATTCGCGCGCCTGAGCAAGGCCCATCGCCCGTGTTGACAGACGCCAATGTGAGCAGCATCGAGCTGCATGATCTCGTCTTTGAGCGGCCACTGCAGCTACCCACGGCGATGGACCTTGGAGGTCTATCCGCCAAGCAGGGCATCATCGTGGAAGGCAGGTTGGCTCTTTCAGCCACTGAAGGAACGGTGCGTATCGCTTCCAGAGCCATCGAGAATCCAGCCACCGCAACGCCTCACTTTTCCTGCACGGTCAGCAAATTGGCCGGTCGAATCGCTGCTTCTGCTGCAATTGACATTGCGGCTCTAACGCAAGGTCTCCTGCACATTGGCGCCGATACCGTCTATGAAGCATCTGCAGGATTTGGCGTCGAGTACGGCACACGGTTCCGCTGTATCGAGGAGCTGTGGAAGGGAGAAGGAGTGGCAGTGGCCCGCCTGCGTGCGCCGAGGACTGACAACGGCTTCCTACTTGATGTGGGCATGCTCGACGGGGCGCTGCAGACGGCAGCGTTCACAGTTGAGAGGGAGCAGGCGTACATGCCCTTCAGCGTCGAGTCGGTTACAGTGAAAGGGTCGATTGCCAATGCCGGCCAGGAGTACTACTCAATTGCGCGGCTCCGTGGGCGTGAGCAGAATATGGTGGAGATGGACATTACGCTCGTAGACGCGCGTGGTACTCCGGTCGTTGAGGTGCGGTCGATGAAGTCAAGGGCTGCGCCGAGGCAGGATTCAATTCTCAAGAAGTCGGTCTACGAGGTGGAATGGGTCCTGCTGCCAACTGGAGTCGAACGTACGCACCATTTCCAAGGAGATATGCTCCTCATGGGCACCCAGGAGGGTTCTGTTCACGAGACCTGGATCCGCAAATTGGCTTCGAGCCTCGGCATGAAACCAAAATTTGTCGACGCGACGAATGTCTCCGGCCAGGACTTTTCGCGTGCTGGCCTTGTCGTGGTTGCGCCGGCGGCACCACCGTCTGAGAATGACATGATTCCGGCAACAGAGACAACGGTGGAACAAGGATTGATCAGCTTGCAAGCCGCCTTGCGCGCACTAGCTGCGGTAGAGTCGGCAGACCAGGTGGCACCCGTGTGCCTCATCACTCACAACGCCGTCCCAGCCGGGAGTGGTAAGGTCAATCCAGCCCATGCCACACTTTGGGGACTCGCGCGTAGCGCTAGAGTCGAGTACACAGACCTCACTGTCGCTACTATCGATGTGGATGGTGCGGCAGTCTCGGGAAATTTGCATGGCCTCGTTTGCATCATGACGCAGCATCGCAACACATGGGGCCAGGGAGAGGCCGAGTTCGCGGTGCGCGGCGATAACGTCTTGGTGCCGCGCATGGTCGAATCGTTCGCTGAGGGCTGTCGTCTACCGCAGCAGCTGGCATGGCGACAGGCATCGCAAGCGGGCGGACTGAGCAGTCTCACCTGGATTCCGCTGGCCGAGCCGCGGGCGCCTGGTCCTGGCAGCGTCCTGCTGCAAGTCAAAGCGGTAGGGTTGAACTTCAAAGATGTGTTGACCGCTACGGGCATTGATGTCGATGCGGTTGACGTCGGGACTGACTGTGCGGGGGTTGTACGCGCCATTGGCCAGGGTGTGACGGGGATCTCGGTGGGTGATGACGTCTTCGGAATTGCCCCAGGCTGTTTTAAGGACCTCGTCATCGCGCGCGCCGACCGCCTAACCTCCACACCTGCCCGCCTAACCGCATATGAAGCGGCTACACTCCCCTCGGCATACCTTACAGCCCGTCTAGCCCTTCTCGATGCTCCTTCAATCAGGCCAGGAGACCGCGTGCTGGTGCATGCGGCTTCAGGCGCCGTTGGCCAAGCGCTCGTACGCCTGGCCCACCAGCACGGCTGCACCGTCTACGCCACTGCCGGAAGTGAGGCCAAACGGGAATATCTGTTGAAACAGCTGGGTGTTGCTGCAGTTTTCCCTTCTCGCGATGCAGCGGCCTTCCAGCGCGAGCTGCGCGCCTATCTGGCCCGCGAGGGTGGTACCATCGACGTAGTCGTAAACAGCCTTGCCGATGCCTACATCCCCAACTCGGTATCATTTCTGCGCCATGGCGGCCGTTTCGTTGAGATTGGCCGCAAATCCATCTGGACGGCGGAGCAGATGCGTGCTCATCGACCGGACATCGAGTACCGAATCGTCGAGCTGGACAAATTGCATTCCCAACCTGGCAGTGTCGCCCAACACCTAGCCGAGGTGGCCTCACTCGTTGACCAGGGCTCTCTTGAGCCAATCATTAGTGAAGTCTTCCCTAGAATTAAAGTCGTCGAGGCATTCCGTCGCATGCAGAGGGCGCTGCATATCGGCAAGGTCGTGGTCTCCATTGAGGATATGCCCGACACACGCGCCAGCGCTGACATCCTCTCTCCGGCCCGCATCCAGCCCGAGAGTGTCGAACGGGCTGTATCCAACATCTCGTCCCGTGCGGCTGCCGACCTGGGTGTGCCTGTTGATGAGATTGAACGTGGTTGGAGGGCACTCTCTCTTTACTGCTTTCAGCAACTACGTCACGCAGCTCAGCGAGTTGGTCCAAGTGGTGTGGTCGAGAGGCAGCGAAGGCTTTACCAGCGGTACTGCCGCGGAGATCCTACGCAGCAGTTTTCTCCTAACGAAGAAGCGCCCCTGGGACTGGACGGTATTGCAGATGCGTACCCCTTCCTGGTTCCTCAGGTGGAAATGCTACGCCAGGTCGACGGCCATCATGAAGCTGTCTTCCGTGGTACCACTGACCCCTTGACCCTGCTATTCTCTGGTGGCGCCAGCAAGCGCATTGCACAGGATCTTTACGAGAAAGGAATTTTCGCCCGATTCTGCAACCAGGTCGCCGCAGATGTCACGGGCTACCTCGCTGGCTCATTAATGCCGGGTGCGACGATGAAGATGCTGGAGGTTGGCGCTGGGACTGGAGGCACCACCAGCCGTGTACTGCCCAAGCTGGGTGACGCCGTACAGTCCTACCACTTCACTGACTTGTCGACATCCTTCCTGCGCCACGCGGAGAAGCGCTTCGCAGCGCAGTATCGCTATGTCAACTACCACCTGTTTGATGTCGAGAAGGACCCCGTGCCTCAGGGGGTGCGCAGCCAGAGTTTCGACGTAGTGCTGGCCTGTAACGTGCTGCATGCCACGAAAGACCTTACTCGTACCTTGACACACGTGCGCCAGATCCTCAAGCATGGTGGTTACCTAGTTTTGTCGGAAGTTACGGCGCCCTCATACTTTGCTGATGCAACATTCGGCATGACTTCTGGCTGGTGGCTCTTCGCCGACCTGGAACTGCGTCCAGACTACCCTTTGCTCACTGCCCAGAGATGGAGATCGTTCCTCCTCAACACCATCGGGTTCGAGCACGTATGGATGAGCGAGCAAGGCGGCCCCCTGCACAACCAGTCTGTTATGGTGGCCCGCACTCCCTCAGCATCTGCCATATCGCCGCGCATCCCGCGCCCCCTATCCACCGCCAGCACCAACGACCGAAACAGCGTTGTGGTCCTCGCCGGTGGCCTGGGAGGCCTGGGCGTTCTGACAGCACGCCTGCTCCTGGAGCGTGGCTGGAAGCGCTTCGCCTTCCTCTCGCGCTCCGGCGAGGTGCCAGCCGACGCCGCCAGCGAATGGCAGCACTTCATAGCCGGCGGGCCACAGCACCGCATCTACCGCTGTGACGTTGCGGACCGCTCTGCCGTCGAGCGCGTCCTGGACGAGATACGCCAGCAGCAGGGCCCGATCGTGGGCGTCGTACAGGCCGCCGGCGTGCTCGACTCGGCGACGCTTCCCAACCAAGACATGGCGCGCTTCCGGGCGCTGATGGGCCCCAAGGTCGCCGGCAGCTGGAACCTGCACCTGGCCACGCAGCGCGACCCCGTCCGCTTCTTCGCCCTCTTCTCGTCCATGGCGTCAGTGCTGGGTTCGGCCGGCCAGGCCAATCACGCCGCCTGTAACTCCTTCATGGACGCCTTGGCCGCACATCGCCGGGCCCAGGGCCTTCCTGCCGTATCTATCCAGTTCAGCAGTGTATCTGCTGTAGGCGAGGCTGCTCGCCGTCGTGCCGATTTGCGCCATACCATCGGATACCTTTCTATCCCGAAGCTTCTGGCTCGCAACGGTATCGAAGCCCTGGTGGACTCAGATGCGGTGGCTGTTGCGCTGAGCCCGATTGATTGGGCTAAGATGCTGGCTAAGTACCGCGTGCCACCGAATCTGTTCCAAGCTTTCTTTGGACGTGCCGTCCCAGCAAACGCCGGCGGAGCAACAGAAAAGCCAGTGGCAAGTGGAAAGCCAGCTATGCGGCATCAGGACAGGAAAGCCAAGTCCGATTCTACCAGCAAGAAGGCTGCTGCTACGTCTCGGCGGGCTCAGAAAAAGACACCAAAAGAAAAGAAGGCAACAGCGGTCAAGCCCAGCGCTCTGTCTCCTACCACTGAACCCGGCGCCAACCATGAATCAAAGGCCAGGACTCTCGTCGTGAGCGCTTTCCACGACGTTCTCGGCTACGAGCCGCCACGTGATGATATGGGCTGGAAGGACGCTGGGGTCGACTCCCTGTTGTCGATTGAGCTGCGTAACGCCATTTGCGCTCGGTTGGATGACCTGGGTGTCTCGAAGAAGGTTCCTGTGACGTTTGTATTCGATTACCCGACGGTCCGGCAGGCGGTAGGTTTCCTGGCCGCCGCGATCGCGTCAAGTGCGGGTGCTGCCTCGGTCGAGCAGGCGACTGTGGAGAAAAGGAGCTCTTCTTCGAGGAAGCCAAACAAGCCGCGCAAGAAGGCCTCAAAGACGCCTAACGCCAATAAGAAGCCCGAGGCACCCAAGCCCGCAGGGGTGGAGAGCGAAGACTTTTTGAGCCTTGTACTGGAATCCTGGCAAGAGACTATATCGACGCCGATTCGCCCGAAACAAGCTTTCGTCGACTGCGGCCTCGACTCCCTCTCATCCGTGGAGCTTCTGTTCGCTTTGCAGACCCGGCTGGAAGATCGCATTCAGCTCCCAGAGAACCTCGTGATGCAGCAGCCTACACCACAAGATGTCGCTTCGTGGCTCTTGCAGCGGATTGGAAGTAATGAAAACGCTCGCAGTAGAACAACAGAAGCATCACCATCGCTTGAGAATGGTACTGATCATATGGCCCTGATCATAGAAGCCTGGCGCAGCACCGTTGGTACTGATCTCGGTGCGGACGATGACTTCGTCGAGGCAGGCTTGGATTCTCTTTCCTCCGTGGAGCTGCTGTACGCACTGCAGCAAGCCGTCGGTGAAAGCATTGAGGTGCCTGAAGGGATTTTCCTGTCGCAGAAAACACCCAGAGCTCTCGCGTCGTGGCTTAATAGCAAGTTACCCCGTTCAGATATGGAGCACGGCACTGCTCCAGCGGTCATCGAGCACGAAGAAATTTCCGAAGATATCGAATCTGAAGAAAGCGGAGATACCTCTTCGTCGGAATCAGACGAGATATGGGAAGAGTCCGACCAGACGGAATCCAAGGAAGAGAGCGATGGCGACAATGATGAACATCTCGAAAACGTGGATAAATGGGAGGATGCCGAGCGCATTGTGCACTCTGCCATCGAAGACGTACTTGGGTATAGCATCGACTCCAACGCACCATTCACCGACAGCGGTGTCGATTCACTCTCATCCCTCGAGATCCGCAACGCACTGCAAGCAAAAGTGCCATCCGCGATCAAGGTACCTGCCACAGCTGTCTTCGACTATCCCTCCGTTCAGAAGCTGGCGGGATTCTTATCGCAAAGAATGGCCGAGTTGGAAAGGGCGAACAGACCCACAACTAAGCCATCGCGCTCAGCGAAGCCTCAGACAAACAAGCCTGTAGCCAAGGCCAAATCCTCCAGGAGCAAAGCGCCCAAACAAAGGGTTGAAAAGGGCTCACGCAACAAGATTGAAGATACGGAGGATCCGATCGTCATTGTTGGAATGGCCAGTCGTTTCCCAGGCCAGACAGACGACCGAGTTGAGGGCTGGTTTGAGTGGCTGCTGGATGGCAAGGATGCCTTCGTTGAGATCCCTCACCACCGGTTCGACATCGACGAAGTCTATCACCCAGGCGGCGAATCGCGAGCGGGCAAATCGTACGTCAGAGACGCCGCCTTCGTCCATGGCGCTGAGATGTTCGACCACGCGCACTTCGGCATCGTCGAGGCCGAAGCCGCAAAGATGGACCCTCAGCAAAGACTCCTTTTGGAGACGAGCTTCCAAGCATTGCATTGCAGTGGCTACACCAAGCAGAGCCTCGACGGACTGGATATTAGCGTCTTCGTCGGGTGCTGCTCCAACGACTGGTCCAAGATGCCCGAAGCCAGAGGTAGTGCCTTTTCGGGCACCGGTGCCGCCGCCTCGATCCTCTCTAACCGTGTCTCGTATGCGCTCAATCTCTGCGCGCCGAGCATGACCATCGACACGGCCTGCAGCAGCGCGCTTGTGGCTCTGGATGCGGCTGCATCAGCTCTGAAGCTCGGCAAGTGCCGAGCTGCCGTTGTGAGTGCTGTCAACTTGATGCTGTCTTACGGCACCTTTGTCACCGAATGTGAAGCTTCGATGCTTTCTCCATCAGGAAAGTGCCGAGCGTTCGATTCTCGGGCTGATGGCTTCGCTCGCGGCGAGGGCTGCGGCAGCGTGGTTGTGAAGAAACTCTCTCAAGCCCGTGCCGACGGCGATGAAATCTTAGCTGTCCTCGCTGCCACCGCCATCAACCAGGATGGTAGAAGCGCCGGTCTCACGGCTCCCAATGGTCCCTCTCAAGAAGCTGTCATTCGCAGTGCCATCGGGGCTGCCGGACTCCGGCCTGAGCAGCTCATTCATCTGGAGAGCCACGGCACGGCGACAAAACTGGGTGACGGTATCGAGTGGACCGCTCTGGCCAACGTATTTGGTGACCGCTCTTCCAGAGAACCGCCACTCTATGTGGGAAGCGTGAAGGCCAACGTGGGTCATCTTGAAGGTGCTGCGGGAATGGCGGGATTGATAAAGTCCGTGATGATCCTCAGAAGCGGCAAAATCCCTCCGCAGGCCAATTTTGAGACACTCAACCCGCTCTTCGAAACAGGCCACGCCCTAGCTGTTCCTACCAAGTTGACCTCGCTCGATGGCATTGATCTCAGCAAATTCGCTTGCGGCATCTCCAGTTTTGGATTCGGCGGCACCAATGCCCACGCCATCGTCCGCCTCCCAACGACCAGCGAGGTGCCGCACAGTTCCCTCGGGACTCATCGTCTTCTTCGAACGCCATGGCCCTTTGATGGACGCAAGTATATTCCTTGGCGTCCCAGCGATAGCCCGTTCGTGACTTCCAAGGTCTTCCGCGATGGTGACCGTTGGGCGGTTTACCGCGTTGCCTTGGGTGAGCGCCTTCGAAAGGACCTGCTGGCGCAACACCGTGTCCGCGGCACAATTATTGTACCTGCGGCAGCCATCATAGAAATGACCCGTGCTGCTCTTGAAGCTCACCTTGCGGACGAATCTGCGGGTCTTGAACTTGTCGAACTTATCCTGGCCAAAGCAATCTTAGTCCAGGACGTAAGCCCTGCCAGCCCAGTGTTTCTGCAGTGTGCAACGCTGGCCAACGGTGAAGACAGCGGAAAGAGTTGGCATATCGAGACAGAATGCCAGGGAGAGGTCATTCTTCACGCCACAGCCGCCTTTGGCCGTTGCGACGGCGACACAACTGAGTCTACTTTAGACGTCGAAGATGCCAGCATGTTACACACAACCCTCATCAAGCCTTCTGATTTATACAGGCGTGCTGCGGACAGAGGTCTTGAATACGGACCACTCTTCCAGGCCCTTACTCGCATTGCAGTCAAGCGTGACGGCAGCAGCGCCTTTGTCAAGATTGGCGGCTCTCAGTATGAGACTTCGGCGTCGCCAGCGTCTACTTTCATCCTCTCTCGAAACGATTACTTCGTCCCTCCCCATCTCTGCGACGCTGCTTTCCAGGCTTGCTCTCTTCTTCATCGAGAGGACGCAGTAAATCAGACTTTCCTGCCTTTCCAAATCGGGCAGGTTCGTTGGCACACTACCAGAGACCAGGTTGACAGGCGGCCTAAGTATGCTATCTGCGAACGGCAGGGCGGGGGACCTGACTCGCTGGTTGCTTCTGTGGCCATATATGACCAGCGAGGTGAACTTCTCCTATCGGTCGGGAATTTCGTGGCCCAGGCTATACAAAAAAGCAAGGAGAGCCTGGACGTCATTGGAAATGCTGCAGGAAGAGCACAGGAGGGGACGGATCAGCACATGAGCGGCTCAAACAGCGGGGTTTCCGAGTCACGAGCAACAGCGGTAATTCCCAAGCGCATGTTCAGAGAGTCGCTACAGCTGGTCCCGGCCAGCCGATCTGTGGGTAGCGGGACAGGCTTCACGCGCTTCGCCCTCATTCGCTCTTCGTCCGGGAGACCTACACCCCGAGAGCTCTTGAGGCTTCCGATTCCTCAGGTCGATGTTCACCCCACACACAACCTCCATCAACGACTCTCGTCGCTGTCAGGCATAGAAGGGTTACTCTTTGCTCCACCGCCCCGCCTCAACGATCCTGATGGAGATGGCTCTCTTGAAATTCTCGAAGTCGTCAAAGCGTTGGACAGGATGAATGTGCCGGTACCACTGACGATTATTGACGTAACTGGTGTCTCGACTCCCACAAGAGATAGCAGAGGTACGCCAGAGGTTCCGGAGAACAATTGGACCCTTTCGGGCCTCGTCCGTGCATGTCGAACAGAGCTCCCTGACCTCAAAATCTTCCTCTGGCATGTTGACCCAACATTGGCTCAGCGCGACGGCTTCTTCACTTCTCCACCCGCACTTCAGGCGGCTTCACTGCTGCCACTAGAGCAAGAGCTCTTCACCGATGCCAACGGTCAATACACCCCCCGCTTACAGCCCATCGCCCCGATGGAGAAGGAAGTGATCGGCCTCGAATGCCAAGTCGGCGCGGACGCAGAACCGGACTTTGGGCACCTCCGCATCGTACCCCTGAGACGGCAGCCCGGCGACGGACCTGGACCGGATGAGGTAGAAGTGCAGGTGCGCGCGGTGGGACTGAACTTCCGCGATGTACTGAACGCGATGGGCCTGAACCTGGGCGTGCCAGGGCCGCTGGGCGCCGACTGCGCAGGCGTCGTCAGCCGTGTTGGTAGCAACGTGCAAAAGTGGCGCGTTGGCGATGAGGTGCTCGGAATTGCCCGCGGCTGCCTGCGATCCTATGCCATCACTAACCACCGCAGGCTGATCGCTAAGCCTACGGACATGACATTCGAACAGGCGGCCAGCGTTGCATCGGTATATGCTACCGTTTACCAGTCGTTCGTCGACGTAGCTCGCTTGAGAGCCGGACAGACGGTCCTGGTCCACGCCGCTGCAGGAGGTGTTGGCCTGTTTGCTATTCAACTCGCCAAACACCTCGGCGCCAGCATCATAGCTACCGTCGGCAGCCCGGGAAAGGAAAAACTGGTCCGTTCATACGGTGTGCAACTCGTGTCAAGCTCTAGGGATGTCCGCAAGTTCGAGACCGATATGGCACAGTGGAGAGTGAGACCAGACGTGGTGCTCAACTGCCTCACCGGCGACTTCATCCGCGTTTCTTTGGACTTCTTGGCACCTTCAGGTCTATTCATCGAACTCGGCAAGCGCGAGATCTGGACGCAAGAACAGGTCTGCAACGTGCGGCCCGACGTTCAGTTCGCGGTTGTCGCCATCGACAAGATGCTGGCGGAAGATCCTCAAGCTCATGCGGATCTCCTCTTGAGGGTCGAGCGTGAGCTGTTGGCTGGTTGGTCGCAGCCACTGCCGATCCAGAAATTCGCTTTCACCGACGTGGCCAAGGCCTTTTCCAGCATGAGACGCGGGCAGCACGTGGGTAAAGTCGTTCTGTCTCTTGAGCACGCCACTCTTTCCAACGCTGCTGGAGGCTCGGTCTTGTCGACTGTGCCGAACCTCGAACGCCTCCTCCGAACCGGCATGGATGACGCCATGGCCGAATTTTTCACTACCGAGTTCGATAGGACGGAATTACTGGCAGGACTTGAGGCTGTGGACCAAATTGCAAGAACGTATTTGCAGGATTGTATGGCCGCTGCCACGCCATCTCAAGTAACGCCGCATCTCCGAGCCCTCTACGATCTTTATCGCCACCAACGGCCCTCATATGGTGTCGCCAACGGAGCAGCAGATGTGAAGCGGATGTACCGTAGTGTTGGTGCCCGTGTGGATTTCCTTGAGCATGTTCGTCGAGAGCACCTGGCCATGTTAACAGGAGACACGGATCCCGTCTCGGTGCTTTTCTCTGACCCAGAGCTAACCAAGCGACTCTACGATGAATCACCACTTGCGGCTCTATTCAACAAGGTTATATCCGGGGCATTGAAATCTGTCGCTGCGGAAACGGGTCGCCTCAAGGCCATTGAGATCGGTGCCGGCACTGGTGGCACAACCCGCAGTGTTTGTGACGTATTGGGGTCTCTTTGCCGCTCTTTCTGCTTCACCGATATCTCCACTTCTTTCTTCAACCGCGCGCAGCAAGAATTCGCACCGTCGATACCGGGCTTCCATACCGCACTGCTGGATATCGAGCGCGACCCTGAGCATCAAGGGTTCATCTTGGGCAGCTACGACCTCATTTTGGCGGCTAACGTGCTACACGCCACAGCCGATCTGTCAGTAACCCTCGCAAACATCCATGCGCTGCTGAAGCCGGACGGCATCCTCGTCCTCTCTGAGCTCACCGATTCCTCGGTGTGGGCGGATGCTACCTTCGGATTCACCAAAGGCTGGTGGCTCTCCACCGACGACCGACGTTCCAGCGGCCGCGGTCCCCTGATCAGTTTGGCTCGCTGGAATGACGCCTTCCGCCGCGCCAACCTCGAACCCGTAACGTCGAGTGATGAAACGATAGCTGCGCAGACAATCATGGTTGCTCGTAGACCCCTTCATCCTTTGAACCGTTTCCGCTCTACTATTCCTTCTGCAATCAGTCAACGCGCACGCAGTGCTTCCTCTGCAGTCGATGAAGGAGTGTATGTCATCACTGGTGGTACTGGTGGACTTGGTCTTCTATCCGCTCATATCCTGATTCTGGAGGGTGCCCGGAGTATTGCTCTTCTCTCGCGCTCGGGAGCTGTCCCAGGGGAGGCTGAGGCAGAACTTTGGGCCCTTCTCCAACGGTCACGCTGCCAAATCAGCATTCATCGCTGCGACGTGAGCGACGAGGTGCAGCTCAGACGCATCTTCGACTCGTTTGGCGTCCCCGTGGTAGGCATCATCCACGCTGCCGGTCACCTATCGGATGCCAGTATCGGCAACCAGTCAACAGCCACCTTCGGCACGGTGATGCGCACCAAGGCCAGCGGGCTGCTCAACCTACACCGCCTCTCCATGCAGCATCCAGTCAAGATGTTCGTCGTCTTCTCCTCCGCCTCCGCCTTCTTCGGCTCCGCGGGCCAGACCAACCACGCCGCGGCGAACTCGTTCATGGACGGCCTCGTCCGCTGGCGCAGGCGCGTCGGCCTGCCTGCTTCGTCAATCATGTGGGGAGCTGTCTCTCAAGTTGGCGATGCGGCTCGCAGGGGTGCCGATCGCAGGAATAAGATGCTGTATGACCCCCTGTCTCTCGTCGACGCCGCCGAGGTGCTTTCTACCGTGCTCTTTGGCGATTTAGACGTCGTGCTCGCCGCTCCGATCCGGCCGGCGTCTATCAGCAGCGACTACAGGGGCAACAAGCGCATATTCGGTAGCCTTATTCCATCGGAAGATGCAAACACCGCGAATGGCACCCAGGAGACCATTTTCAGGACACCCGAGCCGGTGCCAAGGCCACAGCCCATCCTTGAATCCCAGCAGAAGACTGCTCCATCAACGAGCGCAAGCAAGCATGCAGACTACGACAGGGTCTTGTCAACCATCCGCTCGCTAGCTACCAAGTATATTGGTCGCCAGCCTGCGGATGACGAGCTGCTGGTGGGTGCTGGCCTTGACTCGTTGTCAGCGATCGACCTTCGCAACTCCATCCAAGCAAAACTGCTTCCTTCGGGCACAAGGCTGCCCGCCAGCACCGTGTTTGATCACCCCAGTGCGGCCGATCTTGCCCGGTTGGTCTGTTCGAAATTTGGAAGCGGTTCGGTTCCGAGTGTGTCACAAGCGGCGCCCAGTCCAAGCACCTTTTACAGGCCGGAATCAACGGCGCCGGCGCCGGCACCAGCAGTGACGGTATCTTCAGTGGGAACTGACGATATTCTGCTTGTAGTACGTCGGGTGGCCAGCCGTCTTCTATCCCGCATCCCCGACGATGACGAGCCCCTTGTTGCTGCAGGACTCGACTCTTTGACGGCAATCGAGTTCCGCAATATCCTCCAGAAAGAGTTCGGGATAACTCAACGCCTGAAGCCAACACTTGTCTTCGACCATCCGACATCAAGGGAGATTGCAGACTTCCTCTTGCCAATTTTGTCTTCTGCCAATCTTGCAAGGACCTCCACGACCGTTGCTGCTCCTAGCGCCAGCTTTCAGCTGTCGAACAGAGCCACGACGCAGGCAGTTTCTAGCCATCTATCAGAGCAACCTGTGAGACCTATTGTGCCGTCCACGCTGGAGCCGACATTTGTGCATCGTGATTCCCCGCAAGCCTTTGGACAAGTTACCGCTGCTCCTGTGAACAGCACCTTGGAGATTGCAGGCATCGGGTGCCGACTTCCGGGTAGGGCCACTGATCCAGGCAAGTTCTGGAAGAACCTGATACACAAGGTCGACTGCATTGTACCTGTTCCTCACGACCGTTTCGACATGGACGATTTTTACGATCCTGTGCCGGGAACAGAAGGCAAGTCGTACGTCGACCAAGCCGCCTTCATTGATGACATTGACTTCTTTGATCGACACGCGTTCAACATGTCTCCTTCGCAGGTTTCCCAGATGGACCCTCAGCAGCGTCTCGCGCTCCAGGTTGCTCTGGAAGCCTTCATGGACGCTGGATATGAAGACAGGACAAAGCTAAGGGGCAGCAACACCGGTGTCTTTGCCGGTGTCTGCTCCAACGACTGGCACAAAGTTAAGAAGGACCCGAGCTTTCTGGGCGGCGGTTTTGACGTTGCCGGCGGGGCTAACTCGATGATTGCCAACCGTATCTCCTTCGAGTTTGGCCTCAAGGGTCCCTCAGTTGCCATCGACTCCGCCTGCTCCAGCTCTCTCCAGGCTGTTGACATGGCCAGACGAGCAATCCTCAGTGGCGTCTGCGACCGCGCGTTGGTGTTGGGTGTGAACCTGATTCTATCCCCGGATACATTCATCGGCGAATGCCAAGCAACGATGTTGAGCCCCAGCTGCAGGAGCAAGGCGTTCGATGACGAGGCCGACGGTTTTGCCAGAGGAGAGGGCTGTGCCGCAATAGTGCTTGAGAAGCCTGGTCACGGTCCGAAGAGCGATGCATACGCTGAGCTCATCGGATCCGCATCAAACCACGACGGCCGCTCCGCAAGCTTGCTGGCGCCCAACGGACCTGCCCAGACTGCCGTTATCAACGCAGCGCTTGCTGAGGCGGGTATCGCGGGCTATGAAGTTGACTTTCTCGAAACTCATGGCACGGGTACCAAAGTCGGGGACCCGCTCGAGTTCAATGCCTTCCAGGAAGCCCTGGCCTCTGGCCGCTCTCCACAACGCCCACTACACATTGGAGCGCTGAAGACGAACGTTGGTCATCTTGAGGGCGCAGCTGGAATTGCGGGCCTCGTCAAAGCAGCGCTCGTCCTCCAGCATGCGCAAGTGCCGGCGAACCTTCATTTCCGAAAACTCAATTCCCACATCGACGCTGAGGGTTTCCCGGTCGTCTTCCCTAGCCAGACAGTTGCTCTACCGGCAACCAACGGCCCGCTGGTAGGCTCTGTGTCCAGCTGGGGCTTTGGAGGATCCAATGTGCACGCAGTGCTACGTCAGGCAACTCATACACGAAAGCCGCAGGAAGAAGACATCAAACGTGAAATAGGGCAGGTCAGCGTTACAACGGACATCGCGCCGTGCCCTGGACTCGTTGTCATGTTCACAGGTCAGGGAAGCCAATCCGTTAACATGGCCAGTTCTCTATACCGCAGCGATTCCACATTCCGCAACTGCATCGATGAGTGTGCCGCCATTGCCGACGATCTTCTCGACAGGCCTCTGTTATCCGTCCTCTATCCTCCAGCGGGTGACGAGGCCCGGGCGGTACAGCTGATCGAAGACACGTCGTACAGCCAGGTGTGCCTTTTCGCCGTCGAGCTCGGACTATTCCGCATGCTGCAACGTGAGGGTTTCTGCCCGGCCGTCGTGCTGGGCCACTCTCTGGGAGAGTTCGTCGCGGCACATGTGGCGGGCTGCCTCAGCCTACGCAATGCGATGCGCCTTGTTGCCACCCGTGGCAAGCTGCTTGGTGCGCTTCCCCGCAACGTTGGCAGTATGGTTGCTCTCGTGGCCAGCGCGGAGGAAGTAGCTGCTACAATCCGGAGACTACAGCTTTCCCAGTGCTCCATCGCCGCCATCAACAGTCCGCGAATGACAGTAGTATCGGGCGCTAAGCACGAGGTTGACGAGGTCAGCCGGTCCATCGGCTGCGTTGCGCGGCCGCTTAAAGTCTCTCACGCTTTCCACTCGCCGCTCATGCGTCCCGCGCTGCGAGGCTTCGAAGAAGCTCTGGCCAACATCAAGATCCGGGCACCGCAGCCGGGAGGCATCCAGCTGGTCAGCTGCGTGACAGGCAGGCTCGCCGGCGTGGAGCTGGAGAATCCGTCGCACTGGCTCTCGCACATTGTCGATCCGGTGCGCTTCCACGACGCGGTTCAAGAGGCCCACCACCTAGGCGGCCGCTGCTTCGTTGAGATCGGCCCCAGAGCCGTCCTTGCCAAGCTCGTGAGGCAATGCATTACAGCGCCGCTGACCATCACTGCCACTCAGGACCCGCCCAAAGACGACCATGGTGCTTGGAGTGAGGCAATTGCCAAGGTGCGTGGGGTCGTGAATGCACAACTCCCACCTGCCGTTGCCATCACGCAGCCGTCTACCGCTCCCATTATACGCCCGGCTATCGCCAAGCGGGCTGAACGATTTCCATACCGTAAGACACAGCATCCGTTCCTCAAAAACCGAAAAGATCACTCCGACGGCCGGGCCACCTTCACCGTTTCTATTCGTCATTCACTCGCGTCTCTCCTGAAGCAGCACGTCGTCCACGGACGCGTTGTCATCCCTGGAGCACTTCATATGGAGCTAGCCGCAAGTGCTGCTCGACAAGTACACAGCTCCTCTGCTGGCTGTATCGTGCTTGAAGATGTGACGTTCTCTGCCCCCTGTGTCCTATCCGCAGATGACATGCAGGGAGACGACTCAGGAAAGATCCTTCCGTCGCTCTTCTGCACTGTCTGCCCCTCGGATCGGACTATCAGCATTGCGTTTGGCCAAGGCAGCCCCGAAACACTATCGCCTAATGTAGAGGCACAGTATGTCGTCTTGGACAACAACAGCGGCCCTCGCCCAGGCAGTGTCGGCGCAGGCGTGAACATCCGCACCTCACCCGACGACGGGAATCAGGTGGCCGCAGAAGTGTATAGGCACTTTGAGCTCAAGGGGCTGCAGTACGGCCCGCACTTCCGGACACTTCGAAGCATCTCCGGATCCCGCTCACAAGCGCACGCTCGCCACTCTTTAGCGCTGGTTGGACACGGCATGTTCGCCCACCCATGCCTGCTCGACGGCATCTTGCAGACCTCCGCCGGTCTCTTCCTCGACACTCTAGCGTCGACTCCGGCGCGCATGCCGTTCAACGTCGAGCGCATCGAGTTCCTGCGGCCGCTGCCTTCCTGCGTCAACGTCGTGGCGACGAGGACGGATAACGCGACTGACGACAGGTTCTTGCGCATCGATCTCGCCGTATATTCCGAGAACGACGACGAGCTGTTAATGATGGTGAGTGGGCTGCAGAGCCGCCCAGCGCCTTCGTCGGGGGCGGCATTGGCACCGTTTAAAGAAGCTGGCACGCCTCTCTTCTACCAGCAAGCCTACGCACACGAGGAAGTGCGACGCGATGCTCCGATCTCCGCGCAGAGTGTACAACAGGTGTCATACGTGGTGGTTGGCGACAGGTTTAACCCCATCAAACGACGCCTCATTGATACACTCGGATACTCCACGCAAGTGGTCGAATTGGAGACGCTCACTCCTCACCAAGCAACAAGCCACAGAACAAACACCAGCAATGTCCGTACGGTGGTCGTCGACTGCCGGGCGTTTGATGAAAGCAGGCCTCGGCTGAGCGGCATTGACACCGACTGGGAGGAGGACCTCGCGACATCGACTTTGGCATACTATGCCTCTCTTTGCAACAGTGAGCATCTTCCGGATCGCCTCGTGCACATCACTTCGGGTGCCCTCAACCCCGGTCCTGCGGTCAGAACAGTCAAGGGCGCAGCATTGGTGGGAATGGCCAAGGCGTTCAAGGTCGAGCAGTACCACCTTCCGATTACTGTTATGGCTCTTGATGTTCAGGATGAAGATGTGACTGCGCCATCGCTGATCGTGGACGAGATCGCCGCTGCCGTCAGGGGCGATAGCAGCAATGGCGGCTTCATTCAAATTGGCCTTCGAGGAAGCACAAGATCTGTTCCTGTCACGGTTATGGCGCCTGTTTCCTGCGACAGCCGAAGCGGCTTTGAGGACGGACGATCATCTCTTCGCCTTCAGACGGCTGCAGAGGTAACGCGACTGCTAGCCAGCAGCACGACCACATTTGAAGAGGAAAACCGTGCCATGGTAGAGCGCTTTTCGTGCGCTGATGCCGAGCTTCAAGACGTCTGCTCGCAATTGATGGCTCATGCCGCCTGGCAAACACAGAGATGGGAAGTTACGCCGCACCTGCTGCGCACATGGCAACGATACCGCACCAGCCCTCCACGCGAGGCATTTTCAGCATTGCTAGAGAGGCTGGCACGACTCCGCACCGAATATCCTGATGCGACTGGCAACAAGAGCCTTCTAGGCCCGCAGTTGGTGCTGCTCGAGTCCACAGCCAAGCAGTTGAACGAAGTGTTTACAGGACGCGTGGACCCATTAACCCTCCTTTTCGCCGACCAGAACCAGGACGCGGCAGGCGAGTTGTACAAGAGCACCTTCCTCGCACGCCACTTCAACAAATTAGTCGTCGCGGCCGTCATCGATGCGATACAGACGTCGGCACTTCCAGCCGACTACACGGTTCAGGTGCTCGAGATTGGCGCCGGCACAGGCGGCACTGCAAGTTTCGTGCTGCCTGCGCTGCGCGACCTGGGTGTGCGTGTGCGCTACTGCTTCACCGACCTCTCGAGCAGCCTGCTCGCCCGTGCGCGTAAGAATTTCAGCCGCTATCCTTTCATCGAGTACCGCATGCTGGACGTTGAACGGCCGTGCGAGCCACAGGGCTTCGCTCCCGAGACTTTCGACATCGTGCTCGCCACCAACGTCCTCCATGCTACGGCTGACCTTGACGCCGTCATGGCCAACGTGCGGGAGCTCATGCTTCCGGGCGGGCGACTGATCGTATCGGAACTGACACGCGTGATGCCTTTCGCTGACTGCACGTTTGGCCTGACCACTGGATGGAACGCTCATGAGGACCGCTACAGACGTGACGGCCCGCTACTCTCTGCGGCAAGTTGGTTCGATGTGTTCCGCAACGCTCGTCTACAGCCTCTGGCCCACTCTCCCCAGGAAAGCATCTTCGCCAACCAGGCAATTTTGGTGGCTGCCAGAGACGCCGCAGCTCCTCCTTCGACAAGACAGAGGCTGGAAATCCACAGGTCAGATGCGACGTACCTCATCACCGGTGGCCTGGGTGGCCTCGGTCTTCTCACAGCAAAAACCATGGTTGAACAGGGGGCACGGAATATCATCCTCGTCTCGCGCAGCGGCAAGCCTGCCGCCGGCTCCAAGGACGATTGGGACACATTGAATGTACTCTGCGCGCGTTCATCCGTCCGGATAGAGGTGTTCGGCTACGACGTTAGCGACGAGGGCAATGTGGCAGCCCTGTTCAGCCACATCCGCTCCTTGGGCCTGCCGCCCATCCGTGGTGTCGTGCACAGCGCGGGAATCTTGCAGGACGGCACATTCACCGCGCAGACGGCCGCATCGTACCGCGCGGTGCTCAAGACCAAGGCAGCCGCAGCCCGTCTCCTCCAGGCTCAACTCCCGCATCTAGACTTCTTTGTGAGCTACAGCTCAGTGGCGTCGCTTCTCGGCGCTCCGGGCCAGAGCAACCACACAGCGGCCAACACCCTTCTCGATTGCGCTGCGGAATGGCAATGGGCAGCAGCACACAGCGGCTCCCGCCCCTCCTTCACCTCTCTAGCGGTGCAATGGGGCGCCGTATCCGGTGTGGGCGACGCGGCCCGCCGCGGCGCTGCTGATGCTGAGAAACGGTCTTCGAGCGTCCACGCCGCCATCCCCAAAGACACGGCCGAGGCCCTCATCCGGAAGCTCTTCACCGTCGCCTTCCAGCGCCCCGTCGTTACCTTCGTGCCGTTCTTGTGGCACAACCTCTGGAAGACCGACTGCAAGTTTGCCTCAGAGCGCTTCGCCGCCTTCAAGCCCGCTCGATACCTACCACCCGCTGGTGCTACCCCTGAGGCTTCTGCCACCCGTCAAGGTCCGGCCCTCACTGTCAATGCCGACAAACCTGTCGAGTCCCGTCCCGTACCGTCCGCACAGCCCGCAGCCGCTGCTCCCGCTCTGACGCAAATTTTGGACGAGACGGTCGAGGATGTGTTGGGGCGCAGCGTAGAGCCGACCGAATCGCTCGTCGACGCTGGCGTTGACTCGCTGGGTGCCATCGATTTCCGCAACAAGCTGCAGAAGAAGATCCCAGGGCTCCGCGCGCCGGCCACGCTGCTGTTCGAGCATCCTACCAAGGCAGCTCTGCTGGAGTTTCTCGCAAAGTACGCTCCAGCAGCCGCCACAAGACAAACTCCGCTGCCTCAACAGCAGGTCCCGGTGAAGCCAGCACCAGAACGCTCGGAAATTACGACCGCTGTATCACCTGATCGTCCGCAACGCGAGTTGGCCGTCGTCGGTCTCGCATGCCGTCTACCGCAGGCTGATTCGCCACAAGAATTCTGGGACCTCCTCTCCAAGCACCCCTCGACCGCATTCGGCCGCGTGCCAGCCGACCGCTGTGATATGACCTCCGTACTCGATCCCTCCGGCAAGAGTCGCGCAGCAGCGTATACAGACACTGGTGCCTTCGTCCGAGATGCTGACATGTTCGATCACACCGCTTTCGGTCTGCCCGCCTTCGAGGCCGCAGCCATGGATCCTCAGCAGCGCGTGCTTTTGGAGGTGTCCCTGCGCGCCTTTGCTGACGCTGGGTTGAACCGGGAAACACTTACTGGCTCCCGTATCGGCGTCTACGTCGGCGCAATGAACTTCGACGCTGCGTTCAAGTCGTCACAACATGCTGGCGAGGCCCATGGCGCCGCAGCCGCCGCTCCGTCGCTCCTGTCAAGCCGTCTCTCAAACGTCTTCGGCCTACAGGGTCCTTCGCTCACCATCGACACAGCGTGCTCTTCAAGTCTTGTGGCACTGGAAATGGCCGCCGAAGCATTGCGTCAACGCAAGATCGACCGTGCTCTGGTAGCCAGCGTCAACGTCATCTCCTCAACCCGCACCTACGTAGCCGAATGCGCCGCCGGCATGCTCTCACGCCGGGGTGTCTGCGCTCCTTTCGACAACCAGGCGGACGGTTTCGTGCGTGGCGAGGGTGCTGTGGCCATCGTGTTGCAGCGCCTGGAAGATGCTACCGGCGAAGTACACGCTGTGGTCAACGGCATAGCTATCAACCACAATGGCCGGACCGCCGCCAACCTCACCTCCCCCAGCCCATCCGCTCAGGAGTCCGTCATTCGCGCCGCCCTCGCTGACGCTGCCGTCGACCCTGCTCAGGTGGGATACGTGGAATGCCATGGCACTGGCACCAAGCTCGGCGATCCCATCGAGATCAGCGCGCTTCAGAATGTCTTCGACAGTCCGTCTTCTCTCCCGCAGCAGCCCTTGTTCGTCGGCGCGGCCAAGGCCACAGTTGGACATACGGAGAGCGCTGCCGGCCTAGTGGGCTTGCTCAAGGCTGTTCTGGTTCTGAAGCACGGCAAAGTGCCGCCTCTCTCGCACATAAACCGCACCAATGAGCATCTTCAGCTGGAAGGCTCGCGTCTAGAGCTTCCGAAGGCATGGACGCAGCTGGATGGCTCTAATCCCATCGCCGGTGTATCCTCATTCGGCTTCTCGGGTGTCAATTGCCATGCTGTCCTCCGACGGCCTGATGCAGTATCACTGCAGTCAGTCAGGAGTATGGCACTGCCGGAGCCCAAGCTGAACCGCGTCTGGTTCCCGTTAACATCGGTGCACTCCGCTGCAGGAATTGAGCTGACGCAAGATGTAACATTCAAATCTGGACAAGTGTACCCGGACAATGGCTCATCCGTGCAGAATTCTGCATTCTCAGCATCTTTCCGCCACGGTCTCTCCACCGCTTTCTTAGCGGAGAAATTCTGCGGCGCCAGCCGTCCGCAGGCCCTGCTTCTCAGCCTCGAGCTTATGTCCGCCGTCATGCAGCCGCAAGGGGTCAACAAGAGCGCACTCGCCCTCCAATCTGGCGTTCTGAGAGCCCCTTACGAAATCACTTCAGACTCCCAGAGCGGCCTTCAGGCTCACACCATCACTAGCGGCTTGCTTGGCGTGCGATGCACGTTTGGCTCGCTGTCGGCCATCTTAGCAACGGCGAGCGTGGCTCCTGTAGCAGCAGCTGTTCCGAACCAGCTAGATGTGCAGCCCGGCGATGATGTGCTGACAAATTCCCACCTCGGCCCCGCCTTCTACCCTCCGGGCGTCAGTGGCGTGCATCATGACCGGAGCGTGCGCCGCGTTCGCTTCACATTTACCAGGCCCAAGGACCAGCTCTACATCTGCCCGAGCCATGCAAACATTATCCAGGCCGCTTGTGACGTTGTCGTCTCTCTTCAAGGCTCAGAGCATCGTAACCCCCTTGTCGTCGGTTTTGGCTCCCTTGTAGCTGTACCCGGCTCGTCAAAATTCACGGTCGATATCGCCGTCCGTTCTTCCGGCGATGGAGAGCTATGCTTAGACATCCTGGCTATTGCCGAAGAGAGCAAGAGCGGCCTGCATGTCTGCGGCCTTCGTGTCGCCCTGGCATCCGCGGATCGTGCCGCAATCAGCCTTACGAAGCTGGACCTCCGCCCCGTCTTGGACCTCTATGAGCTTTCTCATTCCCCAAGCGATCGTGCCTGGCGCGTCGATGGATCCCAAAATCGGTCTGGCGGTTTCGGCAGCGTCAATTCCATATCCATCGACCAGCTGCAGACCGACCGCATGGCCGCAGATGATGTCGCAGTTTTCCCCGCTACAGACCTTTCCGCCACTGCAGATATCCTCGAAAAGTGGGCAATCAAGGCAAGCAACCGCCACCTTTGGATCCTCTGCAGCCGAGAAAACCACCTGATGCCCGCACTCCGGGCTCTCGTTCAGACGTTCCGCCTAGAACACCCACGCTGCAGCATCGGCATCGTTACCGGTGAAGGCCACGTTGAAGATTTGGTGCCTCGAGTGCCTATAGAACTCGGCCCAGAAGTCCACATCGCGCACGGCGGCCGTCTCCACCTCCCATGCCTGCTTCCTGCTACTCCCACGTCAAAATTCCAGCAGCAGGGACGCACAACTCCCAACTTGATGCGCGGTACCTTTGTCATCACCGGCGGCACTGGGGGTCTCGGTCTCGCTACCGCTGAAGCACTCCTCGAGGCAAGCGCGGCGCACGTGGCGCTGCTCTCCCGCTCCGGAAGGGCGACCAAGGGTTCGAACGAGCGTCTTTCGAGACTCCTATTCAACGAGCCGAGCAGGCTATCGGTCCACCAAGCAGATGTGACTGACGAACGACAAGTCACCGATGTGGTGCGCCAACTCCAGTCGCGCTGGGGCTCAATTACCGGCGTTTTCCACGCCGCCGGCCAGCTTTCCGGGGAAAAGGAGGGTGTGACGACCAAGGGATTCAACAGCGCCTCTTTCGAGCGTCACCGTGCCGTCAAAGTCGACGGCTTGAGAACACTACTAACAGCTCTACGCAACACCAGCGTCGAAGTCGTCGTCGGCTTCTCATCTACGTCGGCGCTGCTCGGGCTGCGGCATCAAGCTGAATACGCAGCGGCAAACGCGGCCATGGACGCTGTACTTCTGGATGAGGAGCAACAGCAGAGCCGCTACCAATCAACAACGCGCTACGTCTCTCTCCAAATCGATGCCGTGGCATCTGTCGGCTTTGCGGCTCGGACGCTGTCCAGCGGCGCTGAGCAAGAAGGAATGATGCCGCTGCAAGACTTCAAGCGTGCTATCGTACAGGTCGCCCAGAGCGCATCAGGCGTCGTCAGTCTCATCGATAACCGCCGTGCTGCAGTATGGCTATCTCGTCAGGGGGTCAAAAGGACAGCGGCCCAGCCGTCGCCGAACGGCCCGTTCCCGGACACCAAAGGAAAAGAAGCAGCTGGCGCCAAAGTAACAGAGAGCCCCGTCGATGGGTCTGGCCCGGTGCCCGTGCTCATTCGCTCTGCATTCGAGGAGGTGACGGGTCACAGTCTCGAGAGCGATTCCACGCCGTTCTTTGATGCCGGGCTTGACTCGCTAACTTCCGTCTCTTTCCGCCACGTGCTTGAAGACCGCCTGGGCTGCACTCTACCCACGTCAATCGCGTTCGACTACCCAAACCTTAACAAATTGGTGTCCTTCCTGCATAAGGAGACAGCTGTCGTGACCCGGTCTCTTCAAGAAGCACCCAAGTCAATCAACAGGACCACAGCTGCTGCTATTTCTGGTGCTGCAACTTCTGCCCAAGATGACGACGATATCGTCGTCACCGGCATGGACTGCGTCTTTCCCGGCGCCAACGGCATCGAGGCCTTCTGGGACGTTCTCATGTCGGGCAAAGACATGGTCGCCCCTATCAGCCCGGACCGACTCGACCTCGAGGGGTACAACAAGCATCTGCTGCAGCAGACCGAAGGCGAAGAAGAAGCGGCCGTGACGATCAGAGAAGCAGCCATGCTATCGTACGACCAAGTCTTCAGCTTCGACCACGCCTTCTTCGGCATGTCTCGGCGCGAGAGCGAAGCCACCGACCCGGCCCAGCGGCTCGTCCTACGCACTTGCTGGCAAGCCCTGCACCGCGCAGGCTTCACCCGCGATGGCCTCGAGGGGAAGCAAGTCGGCGTCTTCGTGGGTGCGGGCCCTAGCGAGTGGAGCAAGGCGCTGGGCTTCCGCAACGCGCTGACGGGCGCCGGCTCCGCGTCGTCGCTGCTGGCGAACCGCGTGTCGTACTGCTTCGGCCTGCGCGGGCCCAGTCTCGTCGTCGACACAGCCTGCTCGTCCAGCCTCGTCGCGCTGCACCTCGCGCGCGCGGCCATCCGGCGTGGCGAGTGCGAGGCGGCGGTGGTTTGCGGCGTGCAGGTCCACCTGCACCCGTCATCTTTCGAGCAGGTCTCCCGCTCGAAGATGGTCTCGCCGTCGGATAACCGCTCCAAGCCCTTCGACGCCGCTGCCGACGGCTACGGCCGCGGCGAGGGCTGCGGCGCCGTCGTGCTCGTCAGGGCAAGCGATGCTGCTGCTGCCGTTGCTGATGTGCCGCCCCTCGCGGTGCTGAGGGGCTCCGCGGTCAATTCGGATGGTCGTTCGGCCAGCTTGACGGCGCCGAGCGGGCCCTCGCAGGTCGATGTCATCCGCGAGGCGCTGGCGGACGCGTGCCTGGAGCCTGGTGATGTCGCGTACGTCGAGACGCACGGCACGGGCACGAGTCTGGGCGACCCGATCGAGTTCAACGCGCTCAAGAGCGTCTTCGGGTCGTCGTCGTCGTCATCGTCGTCTTCGCCACGGCAGCAACCGCTCGTTCTCGGCGCGCTCAAGGGCCAGATCGGCCACCTGGAGGGCGCGGCAGGCATCGCCAGCTTCATCAAGGCCGTCATGGCGCTCAACCACGGCGTCGCGCCGCCCAATGTCAACTTCCGCCGCCTTAACCCGGCTGTTGTTGGTGATGGATTTGACTTCGTGCTCCCCACGCGGCCGCAGCCCCTTGCGCCTGTTCGTTCGCGTGAGAATGCAACCCTCGCAGCAGGCATCAGCTCCTTCGGCTTCGGCGGCACGAACGCCCACGTCGTCGTGACAGCTGCAGCCCCTGCGGCTGAAGAAACAAGCTTCAGGGCCGCCGACGACGGACCGTCGCCCGCCGCCCTGATCCGCCGCGGCCTCCGCCTCCGCGCACCGCACCGCTTCGCTCCGACCCTCGTCGAGCCGCCTGCCCGCTCGCTGCATCCCCGTCGTGGTGGCCGCCAGCAGTCGATCCATGCTACGACTTCCCCTGGTATGGTCTCGCCGCCGCCGACCATCGCCGCCGTTCCTTCGCCTCGTCTCTCCTCCCCTTCGCCGCTTTCGCAGGGGATTCGCAGCCGCGGTGGGACCTTCCAGGTGCGGTTCCAGAGCGGTAGTAGTAAGGGAACGAGAGCCATGACCACGGCTGTTCCTGTCGTTTCGACGAGTACGACCACCATGATGGCGCAGGGTAGTGGTAATGAAGGCGGTGCGGGGGTCGCTGGTAGTAGCAGCTCCACTACAGCGGTGCATCGGCAGTTCCGGTTCAAGTTCAGTGAGAGGATGGGTTGAAGACGGATGGTGGTTTGGAAGCTGTTGATCGGTTGACTTTTTGTTTGATTTTAATGCTGCTGTGTTTGCTACACAGTTTGAGGGGTGGTTCCTGATTGTCTCTTTCTTCCATCGTAGAGGTGTTTGATGCCTCTTTCCATTTGCTCTTGATATTTTTGTACTTGAATTTTTGTAGACTGCATGATTTGTTGGATTTAGTTGTAGAATCTGTTTGTATGTTTAATTTGATTTCTTGAAGTAGCGTTCAAATGTGCTTTCATCTTGAACCCTCTCGCACGAGTTCTGGATTTCTGACAGGGCAGTTGGCTCTGCATTGCTGCGTATCCCTGGGAGTCAGGAGAAGCGACCATGGCCTCTGCGATGCTGGTTGAAGATTAAGGAGGAATTGGATTGAGAGGAGAATTTTGAGCAGGCCGTTATGATGAGAAACCCTCGAGACGCATGCTGGAGTCGAGCAGCAGCAGGCAAGAAAACGCAAAAGGCGCAGCAAATACAACTCTGTAAATGGCATCGATTGTTGAATGCTCTCCGCAACTGACTCTGATACCCTGTTGTCCAATTATGCGCCTGAAGATATCTGTTGTGGCTCGGTAAAGGAATGGAGCTAAGCCTATTAAGGTTAAACCATTGTTCCTGTGTCCTGCGGCTGAGAATCTCACACACACTTCACAAGACCTTTGAGCTTATTTTACACTTGAATTATAGGCATTTCCAACGCAAATTGCTTTTGATAATTCAACCACATTACTAGCCAAGTCTTGTCGTGGTGTTGTGAAGAAGGCGTGCACAACGAGACACACACCTCTTGATATACACATCAGAATTGCTTTATTGGGTACTTGATACAGTCCTACAAGAAAGAGGCAAAAATACTCCTCTATAGATACTTTAAGCGGCTCTATACACGGTACGTGCCTCTTCGTACCATTAACATAGAAGTTTGGGGAATTCCCAATGTCATACCACACGCCTGCTCCGTTCATTCGTAGTATGAAGTCGAATTTATAGGTGATAGATCTCCGACAGGCTAGCGGCATCCCCTATCCTGCGAAGAGAATTACTTAATTGTACCTGATGGGGCTCCTGGGACCACTGAATTCTTACTCACTCGCCTAGAGATGATAGCTACTCATGTATCATCGGAAACTGCCGCCTCGTCAACCGTATCATGAAACGGAGTCCTCCCAATACAACCGCCATGATTCATTCAGGCCTGATTTGTATAGGATTGCTTGGCACTGGGCTGCCTTATCACGCATGAATTACCCCGAAGGCACATTATATCCCATCGGGCTCGCTTCAACGCCTTGGTATACATCACCACCTTCTTCTCGTGTTTTAGGGAAAGAAAGAGAGACAGATAAATCATCACCTACTATCTTTCTCACTCTCCTTGTCTCCAGACTACAGGTCCTGATACGTATATTCACCGCTCATCACGATGGCCTCGACAGACCGCACGGCCAAGATCCGCATCGTCTGCCTCCACGGCTTCAGCTGCAACAGCGCCATCTACCGGTTCCAGACGGCCCGGCTACGCAAGCGCTGGGCGGAGCACCTGCGCCAACACCCACTAGTAGCAGCAACATCCTCCTCCTCCCCATCGAGTACCTCCTCCTCCTCTCGAGCCGCGAGCCCCGGCCTCGACGATCCCTGGCAACGCAACAACACTCAATACTACTACGACAGCGACGAGGAGAGCAGCAGCGCCGCCACCACCACCAGTTCGTCCTCCTCAGTCGATCTCGCGGCATCAATCAGCAGTCGAAGCAGCATCAGTTTCAGCAGCGACTATCCTCCTCCGCCAAGCTACAGCAGCAGCGGGTCCACCAACGGCGGCAACAGCGGCAGCGGCGTCGTCGTGTACAACGACGTCGAGTTCATCTTCCTCGAGTCGCCACGCGAGGTCTCGACCCCGGAGCAGCCGCTAGCAGAGGTGGCCTCGCTCTTTCCCGGACCGTACCGGACGTGGTTCGAGCCAAGCACAACAACATCGAAAGAAGCACGGAGAACATCATCAGCCAAGCCGGACGACGGACGCCGCGCGCGCCGGCGCGACCCGGCCGTCGAGCGGTGGGTGGTGGAGCAGGTCAAGCGCGCGGGCGGCGTGCACGGGGTGCTGGCGTTCAGCGACGGCGCGGCGCTGACAGCAGCACTAACGCTCAAGGCCGAGGCGGGCGTCGCGGCGTGCCCGAAGCTGTGGGACTTTGTCGTGCTGGCGTGCGGTGTCGACCCGTATCCGGATCCTTGGCTGCATGGCATTAACAGTGGTAGTAGTGCGGATGGGGATGAGGAGGAGGCGAAGGAGGAGGAAGAGGCGAAGTGTTTGGCACGGTTGAAGACGCCCGGTCTGCATATCGTTGGGTTGCGAGATGAGGTCTACAGAGATCGTAGCGAGGCGTTGTGGGGTCTCGTGCATCCGCAGGCGGCGGCTGCTGCTGCTGACCGCGACGAGAAGGGAATGAATGCTGCTTCGGGCATGGCGGCCGAGGTCTATCGGTTCGATGATGGCCACAAGGTGCCCGTTCAGGACACTGACTTGGACGCCATACTAAGCGCGTGGCGGAGAGTCGTGGTGCGCTCAGGCCTTTTCAGAGATGCGAGTCCTGATGAGGTGGTGGCCGCATCACGTGTCCTAGCGGTGTAGAAAGGAGTTTCGGAGTGAGTCTCTCTGTGGGGCTTAACATCTTCTGCGAAGACTGATGTTGTGGAGGCCGTGTTCTGTAAACTTTCATATAGAGCAACTCTCGCCGAATGAAGGGACTTCCTAGTTTTTAATTACTCAATTCATGCACATGTTACTTGTCAGCGCATAGAAGAGTGCAGAAAGGAGCTTCGGGATGGGCACACTTGGCTATTCAGGGACTCATATAGGCCCAATACCGTTAAGGCGGACCCGAAAGAGAAGTCTGAGACGTTGTTTCTCGTATTCAGTTTCCTGTCATGGCCCGACATACGTAGTACGCGGTGGTTGTCACTTACTCGTTTCGCGTCTGAATCAAGCATGCACCGGCCCACAGTGTTGTTGTTGAACTTACCCCATGGAGTACAAGTGTACCACATGAGCGACAATCAGAATGATCCAGGTCGAGATCAAGGTTTACGGGGATCTCGGAGAACCCCATGCACCCGACTGTTAACAGCAGGAACAACCAGTCATGACTCGCGGGAATGACCCGTGTCTTCGATCTCGAGCCCAAAAGCGATTCGCGTGGGATGCAACAGGAAACCATGAGTCGATACAAGCAACGGGGCGCAGTCAAGCATTAACGCTAAGCGAGCTCATGCTTGCTGAGCGGTCTGCGGAGTGCTTCCGGTAACGAACGATTGGGTGATCAGGCTAATTGCCATCTCTCATGAGCTCGGCTGACACACGCCGCGGAAGGCCTCAAAGCAAGATATAGAGATCCACATGTTCGAAACGCGGCTTTCAGCGACTCCTTGAGCCTCGACGTCCGGACCAACCGAGTCGTTACTCGTCGATAATGGTGTGGAGAAAATACCCGACCACCACACATACTCACCTACCCCGAGTCATATCGTCTCAACCTAGTGGAGATGCATCGGCCCGCCTGATTCAGGCGCCCACCCACGCCAGCGAGTATCACAGTCGCCAGCGACCATCTGGACAGATAGAGTATTTATGGACCAGTCAGTCAGATAAGGAGACGGGCAAGAAAGTGCACACAAGCCCTGAAATTGTCTTCGTTCAACGTTGAACTCTGAAAAGTCAAATGGAGATGGCTTCACCTACGACCAAGTCTCGCCCCGTCGAATCGCAGCTACGAGGGATTAGAAAGAAGCGGATGGCTTGTGATGTCTGCCACGGCTCAAAGGTTCGCTGCAGTGGTGGCACGCCCTGCAACACCTGCAGCAGGCTCGGCACCGATTGCGTCTACAGTTTTTCCAGCGTACTCGGAAGGCCGAAGAATCGCAGGACAAAGAAGATGGGAGTGGCACGTGAAGAAAAGGCGGCGGCAAAGCCAACAACGACGGATCAAGCCAAAGATGCCACCAAGGATTCCAACGACCAAGAGCATGCACATATCCCGGACATGGACATTTCCGGCTTTTACCCTGGTGTGTAATTCAACATTCACACAATTTTCACTCACTAATCTCGCAACAGCCGAACACAATTACTACAACGACATTCCGCTCTGGGAGTCGTACTCTTGTCTGGATTCTGACCCGACACACCTTCTTTGCGGCAACGTCGAACATGTCAACATCAGGCCGGAAGACGCTGTGACGAGTATTTCCCCAGAGGTTCCTCCAGCGAGTCTCCCCGACTCGAATGATGCGGAGTATATCGCAAGTCTACAAACGCTTTCCAGGAGCCTTTCTCCCGAAAGGAACGCCAACATACCGCAGCTCTTGTGCGATTGCTTGAAGCGTTGCGCAGTGGTGCTGTCTGGGTTGAAGGCGCTGGAGATGGATGTACAGTTCCAGATCGATGCGGCGCTGTTACACATCCGCAAAGCCACAGCCACCTGGAAGCATGTGTTGCAGTGTAATTGCTGCGAGAGGGGAAACCCTGAGGAAGCCGTTTACATGGCCATCAGCGGTGTGCGAGCAGCGTTACACTACCTCGTGGCTGTCTTCGGCAACGAGATTGAGAAAGCCACTGATACATCATCTGGCACCCTTTATTCCGATCCGTCCCAGAGTCTGCCCACTCCACAGGAAATGCCACCTCAAGAGGACTATCTTGCGTCCTCTAAGCACGTGAGCAGTGCAATCGGAAGGTCGAACTTGGGAGGCTACGACATGGATGGAGAAGAGCAGGAACTCGTCGTAAAATTCATTGCGCTACGATTGGTTCGCGAGATGATGGATGTCCTGAAAATGTTGGAAGAGCGAGTTAATAGACAACGAACTCCATTGTTCTGGCCTGATGCGGCACTAACTCAACAACCGGCCGCCTGGAGTAACGATTTATTTCATCTCCAACCCCTACTGCAGGGGGTTAAGGAGACAGCAAAATCATTACAGGAAAGCTTGTGCAATTCAAGTACAGCCGAGCTTCATCGGTGTATATGATTTTCCTCTGTCGTAAATTAATTCAGTAAACCCCAGTCCATGGTTTATAATACTCGTCTGAAGAAAGTGAATACTACATGGCAGTTTCAACGCTGACGACGCTGCTGCCAATGTGCATCGAGATCAATCATTACCACTCACTTGAGTGGAACTCGAGCGCGGATTGCGCTTATCGGAGTCAGCCTTGCACAATACATGTTCAGCAATTTCCTTCTTTCTATCAGAACGCTGGCCGTACTTTCGCGATGAGTCACTTGGCTTTAGTTAAGCATAACTGACACTCAGTCGGTACCATACTGACCTAAAGGAAGGTCTATTAACACGAAGAATGCAATTCAGGTAGGTAATTTATCTATGGAATAGACTATAAAGTTGTATGGATCAAAACCACCGAGGACAAAACGCTTTAACGATTCGTACGGGGTTATCCTATGTCATATTTGCGTGTATTGCCCCACATTCTTTACAGTGATGGCAGAAAGTGGGGATAATATGGTAATAATTCGAGGTTTGCAGGCCGACTTCGGACAGTTGTATGTACTGCGCTGATGACGACAACGTGTGGCTTCCAGCAGCCCAGCCACTGCAACGGCAAACACCCGGATCACATCCCTCCAACTATATGGACCTGGAAAATGATGCGCTGTTCTGCAAGACCAACCACTGTTCCATAGATCCGTCTGGCCGTAGAGCTCAGAGTAGTTGCGTTGGCCGTGGGGGCGTGGGGGATCGCCGGCACAACAACCTGAAAGAAGCGGGAACGGCATGAAATGGCTGCCTTGGCCTGCGCTCAGAGCCTATGTAAGTTTTGGACCGTTCGACTTCGGATCTGGGGCCAAGCACATCCCCCGCAGCGGCTAAGGGTCTAAACTCGGCCTTGATCATTGACCCGGCACGTTGGTGTGGTCTGATTGCTCAGCCTCTCAGGACCCCGGACCGGCCGACTATCGATACATGCCCTGCTAAACCTATTTCTCGAGCCTCCCCGGACGCTTACGCCGCGTCTGTCATCACCCCGCACAATGTGCGGTCCACTTCCCCGCAATTTCCCCCCACGTATTCCTCACCGACCGAGTTGCAATCGGTGTAACCAAGATTTATAGCACAAGTTGGATCGTTCCTCCACCCTGAAATAAAGTATAGAGGCTCCTATAAAGGCTTATAAGGTAGACTGTTGTCTAACAGCTGTTGATTCCTTCATAATCACGATTAAGCCTGCCTGACACGTCATCATGGCTTCCCATCCGGAAGAAAATACGAAAGGAGATGATTCCAGAAACAAGGACAGTTCCAAGGCCGAAGTGCACCATATCGATAAACTGAAAGATCAGACCGGCCCGGAGCTGCCAGCTCTTTTGGAAGACCTGAGCGAGGATGAGTTCCGACGCATTGAGAAGAAGATGGTATGGAAGGTTGATTTGAGGATGCTGCCGCTCGTGATCATCATGTACATCTTGGTGAGTTATTGTTGCTGAGACACTTTACCCACACCGGAAACGACTGACTGGCATAGAACTATCTTGACCGGAACAATATCGCAGCTGCTCGATTGGGTGGAATGGAACAAGATCTAAACTTGGTTGGCTCGCAGTACCAGGTAAGCTCACTCCAGCCGATATGCAGCTTGATATTTATCACAGTATAGACTTCAGTGAGCATTCTTTTTGTGGGATATGTTTTAATGCAAGGTAAGCACCGGTCATGTCGAACTCTTTTGAATGTCAAAACTGATTATCATAGTTCCGTCAAACCTGCTACTAAAATCCGTGGGGAAGCCAGCTTTGTATCTTCCAACCGTAATGGGGATGTGGGGAGTCGTTTCAGGAGCGACTGGAGCGGTACACAACTTTGCTGGACTCGTATCATGCCGTGTCCTGTTGGGCATCCTGGAAGCTGCTTACTGGGTATACCTCCTCCGGCTTCTGCAATAAAACTCAAACTGACAGGATGAAGCCCGGTTGCGTCTTCTACCTTTCTTCCTGGTACACACGAAAAGAACTGGGCGTTCGGCTCGCCATTTTGTTCCAAGGCAGCTTACTGTCCGGAGCCTTTTCTGGTTTGATTGCTGCAGGAGTTCTGGACGGAATGGCTGGTGTACGGGGATTGGCATCGTGGTAAGTTATCAATGGGCATGCATCCATTCTTGTCTCATGAGCTGATTCTCTCAGGCGATGGCTCTTCATTATTGAGGGAACTGCCACAGTTGTCGTAGCTATACTTGCCATATTTTGTAAGCATTCGTTAGTGAAACATAATTCAGAAAACATTGCTTACGCACAACCAGTGCTGCCAAACTTCCCCCACACGACGGGATGGCTATCTGAGCAAGAGCGGCAGCTTGCCATGTGGAGACTGGAACAAGATGCTGGAGAGACGGATCAGAGCGAGGATGACAATTCCTCAATTCTCGAAGGGTTCAAGATGGCAGCCAAAGAGATCAAAGTATACGTCGTGGCCATCATGCTCATCTGCGTCGCATCCTCGGCTTCGGTGCTCAACTTCTTTCCCACTGTTGTCGAGACTTTGGGGTATGGCCGCACTGAGACACTCCTGCTGACAGCTCCTCCATACGTAAGCCACCAAAGTATGAAAGGCAAGATCACGGCACTGACACTATTGCCAGGTTCTTTGCATGTTCACATCGTGCTTCATTGCGTGGAACTCAGATCGAACCGGCGAGAGGTACTTCCATTGCACGGCGCCGCTCTACTTTGCTATTGTAGCCTTCGTCATTGCGGCATCAACCACAGCAATTGTGCCGCGGTACATCTCCATCATGCTTATGGTCCCAGGCTTTTGGTCGAGCTGGCCTTTAGTGTTTGCTTGGGCCTCCAGCGCCATTCCGCGGCCGGCAGCAAAGCGGGCTGCAGCATTGGCCATGATCAACTCCGTGGCCAACTGCGCGAATATTTTTGGAAGCTACTTGTACCCCACATCTCACTCTCCCAGATACAGTACGTGATGGCCCTGTCTAAAAGGCCTTTCTTGGAATACAAGCTAATAGAGCATGACAGTCCTCGCAATGGGTGTAAATACAGGAACCGCTTTGGTGGCAATTCTGGCGGGCACAGTTTTGAGATTTATATTGGCTCGTGAGAATAGGAAGATGGGTCCCGGTGCAGTCAAGTACCCCCTCTGATTTTTGGAATGGAGATGTAAGGTAGTAAAATTGCGAAGCGCGCAGCCAAAAAAAAAAATCTCAGAGTAATCAAGCATAACGACAACGCCCTTGTTGGGGTATATGGCAGCGATCGACGTCTCTTATCTCAAGCGATGTTTCCCATCGGGTAGGATCCCCACTATTGTCCGCAACGGGCTTGGGAAAGCCGAGGGCCGCCACGCCGGTCTTGTCTTATGTAATCAAATCAACCCAGAGCCGTGGGCGGGGTCAATCAAGCAATAGATATAAATAGTCTGGACCCGTCTTGCGGCGTTTTTGCGAGGCAATTAATCTCCACGTGAGCAATGGCTGACCACATTGACGTTCTCCTCTATGGCCTTGGGGCGTAAGTATTTCTCTTCGTCTTTTGGCTTGTCAACTAATCTTTCATATGCTCGTAGCATTGGTTCTTTCTACGCCTTCATCCTGGGTCGGGCGCCCAATGTGCGTCTGACCGTGGTAGCAAGGTCAAACTATGACGCAGTGAAAGAGAAAGTGAGCACATCTTTGCATTCTGTATGAGACTGGATGCTGAGTTCCTGAAGGGGCTGGTCATTGAAAGTGAGAACCACGGCAACCACGTTGTCCGGCCATTTGAGGGTAAGCAAAATCCGGTACGGAACAACAACAACTTATTGACATTTTGAAGTGGTAAAGACTCCAGCGGATCTTAAGAAAACCTTTGATTATGTTGTCTGCACAAACAAAGCAACCGACCAGGATGAGACGGCAAGAGCATTAGTCCCAGTCGTCGACCAAGGGAAAACGTCAATCGTCATCATCCAAAATGGGGTTGGAAATGAGCCGCCCTTCCGGAATGTCTTTCCGAATTGCACAATCATCACCTGTGTGGTATGTGACACCCATTTACAACCCCACAATACAGTATCTGATTATCCTTAGACCTGGGTCGGTGCGATCCAGACATCGCCTGGATTTGTTATCCACAGAAAGTCCGAAGACCTGCAAATCGGTCTTTTCAAGGATCAAGTGGAGTCTCAGGGCGCAGATGACCAAGCGAAGCTGGATCGTTTCGCGGAACTGCTCAAGCAGGGCGGTACCAAGTTCCAAGTCCTTGAGGACATGCAAGTCCAGCGCTGGGAGAAGGTGGTCTGGAACGCCGCGTGGAACTCGCTCACGACACTCACCATGCTTGACACCAAAACTTGGCTGAATTCTTCGGCACAGGCGACGCCTCTCACTCGGCAGCTGATGCAGGAGGTGATTGATGTGGCACGTGCCTGCAACGTCGGCCTTGACTCTTCTCTCATCGACCGCTTGATGGATAGGATTCTGGCTATGCCGGGCATCGGCAGTAGCATGCAGACTGACTGCAAAAACGGGAAACCGATGGAGGTGGAGGTGATTTTGGGATATCCGGTGCGGAAAGCAAGGGAACTGGGAGTGAAGACTCCTATTATCGAGACCCTGTACACTCTGCTGCTCGGTGTTGATCTGAGGCTGCGGAATGAGTCAAAATAGTAGTATCGCAGTAACGGAATACTCAATTCGGTACTCACCCGTAGATGTTTCGATTCGCTGAGCAAGATCCGAGAGATGCAAAAATCCCACACAACAACCCCCACGAATGCGGGGTTGGTCAACTTCCCCGCACTTTGCGCCCTGGTCATTGCTGACACCCCGGATCCACCGACATTCAAAACAAGGAATACTGCCCGAAATCGGAGCACGCGATCTGCATTGGAACAGGAGAGACCCCCACGCTCAGTTGTCGGAGCGGGAAGCGCGGTGATTGAGTGCCACATTCCAAACCCCCACGAACTGTTTCCTATGCTGGAAGTAACCATGCGACATATATCAAACCAACTTGAAGCATTGCCGAGGTCATTTCGAGAACAACTTTGCGGGGCAATTCGTTGAACGTTGAACAATCGATTTTGTCTGATAGCAACTACTCAGTGCCTTCACGACAGTATCACCATGGCCAATTCGTATGTTGAGAGTCTGTTCTCCCTCAAGGGCCGCACGGCTGCTGTCACGGGTGGGACCCGAGGGATCGGAGCAGCAATGGCAATTGCTCTCGCTGAAGCTGGAGCGGATGTCGTCCTTATACAAGTGTGCCTTTCCCAGCTAGTGTCTCCAACAACTTGTTAATGCATTCTCCGAATATACAGAGAGACGACAAGAACACTGCAACCAAATCCAAGATACTAGAGCTTGGGAGGAAGGCGACCATTGTTACCGCAGACCTAGCCTCGGACACGGAGGTTGCCAGCCTTGCGGAACGCGTTCTTTCCGAGAAACATGACATTGATATTCTTGTGACATGCGCTGGCATTCAGAGAAGGCACCCGAGTCATATCTTTCCCAAGAGCGATTGGGATGAGGTAAATGAGACAAATCCGTTCTTGGAGACGTTGTGCTAAATCGGCATAATTCAGGTGCTGCAAGTCAATCTCTCTACCGTTTTCACGCTCTGTAGGGACTTTGGACGTTACATGTTGACGCGAGAGCCGGATTCGCGAGGTCACCGAGGCAGTATCATCAATGTAGCATCATTGGTGTCTTTCCAAGGTGGCCTCACCGTTCCAGCCTATGCAGCTGCAAAAGGCGGAGTGGCGCAGTTGACAAAGGCTTTGTCGAATGAGTGGGCATCCAAAGGAGTCAATGTCAATGCCATTGCTCCTGGCTATGTTGCCACGGACATGAACGAAGCCCTGTTGAACGATAAGGAGCGTGCAGCCAGCATCCTGGCGAGAATCCCGGCGGGAAGATGGGGTAGTCCGGATGACTTCAAAGGTGCAACGGTTTTCTTGGCCAGCACAGCCAGTCTATATGTATCTGGAGAGATTCTCACTGTGGACGGTGGCTGGATGGGCAGGTAGAGAATGCAATTCGGCAACCTAGATGGAACATGGTCAGTCAAGTGGGAGATATTCAGATTATTCATAGATTGTCGCCTCGAGAAAGAATTGTAAACGCATCAGTGGAAGAAACGAGTGCATAAAGTTTTGGAGTGCGAAAGCGTCGGGCATGTGCGGTGTTCGGAGGTTCAGCGGTTTGGAGGCAATGCGCAGCCGTAGTCTGCGCCATGGTCTCAGTGAAACATTCGAGTCCACCCGTTAGGCGGCGTTCTCAACAGTACAGGCAGAGTGAGAGTGAGTGGCATGTATATCAGATTTTGCATTGATAGATTCTGAAAACCTTCCTCATGTGAATTACCATTCCCTGATCCCACCGTCAACCCCATAGAACTCCTTGCACTGCCAAGGTGCTGTATCCTTTGCAATCCTCCTTACCATCTCTTCGTCAATCTCAATTCCCAGTCCAGTTCCTGTTGGTGCTTTGACGAAACCTTCCTCAATGTCAAACACGCTAGGATCCTTCAAATACGTCAACAAATCAATGTCGCCGGCCTCGACATTGTAATGCATGCCCAAGCTCATCTCCAAAATGGCGAAGTTCGGTGTGCTCAACGCAACATGCAAGCTGGCTGCGAAAGCCACTGGTCCCAGTGGACAATGTGGTGCGATTGCGACGTCGTACGCCTCAGCCATCTGGGCGATGCGCTTTGTCTCCGAGATTCCTCCTGCATGCGCAATGTCTGGCTGCAGAACGTCGACATGTTCGAGGAATGGCTTTACGTCCCAGCGAGTGTACAATCGCTCTCCGAAAGCAATTGGAATTGTTGTGTGGGCGGCGAGTTGCTTGATCGCCTCCGGATGCTCACAAAGCAACGGCTCCTCGATGAACAACGGCCGGTGCGGCTCGAGGGCTTTGGCAAGCTGCTTTGCCATTGGCTTGTGAAGACGGCCATGGAAGTCGAGTCCAGCGTCAAGACCGAGGGCTTTGACTGTCTTCAGGCGCTCGACAGTGGCTTCAACAGCGGAGGGGCTGTCCAGCCAGTTGACATCTTCAGTGGCGTTCATTTTCACACACTTGAGACCTTGAGCAATTCTTGCTTTGCTATTATTTGTTAGTAGGATGAAATATCTGGAGAATATTGACGTACGCTGCAACCTCCACGTCGGCTGGGCGGTCACCGCCGATCCAGGCGTAAACTTGAACTTTGTTACGCACTTTACCGCCGAGTAGCTCCCATACTGGAACCTTCAGTTTACGGCCTGGATAATAAATTAGGAGAATCCCCTTTGTCGGTATTTTCCAGCTTACCTTTCAGATCCCATAGTGCAATATCAATGCCGGAAAGAGCAGACATGAAAACTGGGCCTCCGCGGTAGAAGCTATGTCTCCAGAACTTCTGCCAGATATGTTCGATGTTGCTGTGAATAGTGTTAGCGAGGTGACACCAAAAGATTGCAATCGGTCGAACCTCGCGTCCATGCCAATAAGCCTGACAATCATTTCATCCAAAGTACCCTCAACCGCAAGATCATGGCCTTCGAGCGTTGCTTCACCCCATCCATGCTCCCCGGTTTCATCGGTGATTTTGACCATCAGCCATCGTGGCTTGACACGGAAATACTCTATGGTCTTTATCTTCGCCATTTCTCGGAGCTTTGCGGTTGAAATGTTGATCTGTTTGTATGAAACGATCAGGAAATTGGAAAGCAGATAATTGAGAGAAGTAGAAAGGTGAAGACGAGGGTACTAAAGCATCGGAGCATTGAGCATGGGGATGGCGGGGGTGGCTGCTGCGGGGGTTACCCGCTTTGCCGTTCTGACTCCCCCACGTTCAGAAATCCCACCAATCTTCACTAAATCCGCATGGAGAAAGCGGGGACCCCCACGCTCGACGTCATTGAGTCAGAAAATGGAGCCTTTAAATGCGGCATACCAAAATGGACATCGGCAACCCCGTGAAAGGAAAAAAAAGCGGGGACAAATAGCGTGACTTTTTGATAATCCTCTGTCCAGAAGAACTATCCTGGACAGAGTAAGAATTTTTGGGCAATATGTCGTCAAGATAGCTACAACACGATATTAGCGGACCGACAACTTTTGTTAGGCGTTACACTGGAATCAGGAATCATGGGTAGTTGTCTGCGGCGATGATTCCAATACCCGTGGTATATCTGATGAATAGATTGCAAAATAATCTATGAAAGAGAGCATGAGGGTAGTTTGAACTAGCGATGGTCATATCAAAAACACCAGCTGCTCACTGCTTGGATCTCCCACTCCTTCTCCAAACATGATTCCATGGACGTAGCAATCTCCAATAACAACGTGGTACTTGTATGGAATTTCGATATTGCCGCAGCCTTTTTGAGCCCCCGAGTCCTGCACAGGGCGGAGAATGAATGGAACACTTCCCCCAAAGAGCACCCAAACTTCATCTCCTCGCTGCATCCAATCAGGGCCTAGGCCAATGAGTCCACCCCGAGTGACGAAGAGCCTCCTTCCTGCAGCGGATGTGTTCAGTTCTTGAGCTAGTGATGCATTGATAAGTTCATCTTCCACATTCTCCTGAAGCAGTGACTGTGTGAACCGATCTGCCTCCTCTTCGCTGAAAGTTGGGTCCATTTCATGCAAGTCGCCAGTTAGTGTCTTGGTGAAGGCTTCCATCAGGGTACCTCCGCCAATGTAGCTGCTCCCGTAACGATGATCGAGGCGTAGAAACTGAGCCCATATTCGAAATGTTGAAAATTGGTCCAGAGCATATGTAGATGCGACATGCGACTGAGGCGTTAATTTCGAAACGACGTCTACCTTAGTCCCGAGAAATGAGAGGACACCATTACCGGACTCCTGAATCAGAACCTGTTCGCCATTGGAAGCGTCATAGAGCTCACCACGGGCCCGGCGGTTGGATGCGCTTGTTTCCTTGTTGAAGTCTTTAACCCACGAAGGTGTAGAAGTAGCCAGCTTGGGCTCGGACTCTCTCCACAGGACAGAAAGTGATCGGTCCGGGTATTTGCTCAATAAAAGCAGGCTCACTCGTTCGTACAATTCTTCTGGAGTGGCCTGGTAGTCTGCAGCGAGCCGGAAGTGTTTGGGGAGAAGTCCCAGTAGTGAAAAGATCTTGTCTCGGGGATCCTTCGATTCCCGCTCATGGAAGTTGTACAAGCAATCCATGAGATTAATACCAATGTCGGATTGACAAAGCCGTTTTTTCGTCAAGCCGAGGGTGTGAATGTGTTTTTGAAAATTGAAGAGAGCATTGACCGTGGCCTCTCCGCACGATAGGGCTTCCAGCTTGTGAATCAGTTGGGTGAAGAACCGAGAGCAACAAGTGATTGAATGGGTGTAAAGCCTATCGGCAGCCAGAACCAGATCGTCAAGCGAATATCTGAATTCCCCCCAGCACAGTGTTGAGACGGGCGGCAAGACGGCCTCTTGGACGGTCCACCTGCGCGTCCACCAGCTCCGGTTCATGAATGCTCGAAGTGCCATGAGCGGTTCGAGACAGCTTATATCAGGCACTCCCTGATTTTGAACGGTTTGAGAAAATGGTGGAATATCACAGAGGTGTGAATCGCTGCCAAGCATGTCGATCAGATTCAGGAGCGTGGACATCCGCGGTCGAAATCCATGCCATCTGCAGCTCAGCTGCTCGCTTCGAAGACTTTCTGGGCCTTTCCATGTGTTTTCGTCACGATCGAGCTCATATGAGCAGTTGTGTTCGACGTGGCCCCTTCGGAAGTTCCATTCGTTCGAGGGGGTGCAGTACCCCTTGTCATTGGTAGTGCACCAAGCGTCGCTTTGTTCTGATGCGTCTCCAATCCAAAGTAATCCCTCCTTGCACTTACTGAATATTTTTCCCATCAGTCCAACTTGCCACGCTTTCTCGTCATCGTTCTGTTGGTCGATGCAAACCGCGTCGACCCACATGATACGCATCTGGTCTGGAAGCCGCAAACATTTGAGGGCTGACAGTAAATTTTCCGAGACAGTGAAGCTTTCGCCAGAAAGCTTGATTGGTTCTGTAGCCATTTTCTCTCCCCAGGCGTATGATAGAGCGTCGTATTCAGGAGTATCATCCAGAGATTTGACATGGGAATCGCAGCGTATGGGCTCGTGGTCGGTTCCAGGGAAGAGCTTGATTAGGCGTACTTCATTCTGAAGCGGACAGAGCCGCTGGAATTGGAAAGACGAAGGCATAATAGAAGGGGGGTGAAACTTCTGATCAAGTGTCTGTTTTGGGATACCGAGGATGTAGAAGATCAGGCACTGAACTTCCAAAAAGCTACGAGAAGCAATACCCGAGCATGCTTTAAATGCACGGCAGCTCGGCCGATCTGAGTTTGGCTCCCAGATAGCCTTGTCAAATGCGAACCACTTTGAACACGCAGCCTTGGGTCTCACCACTCTCTCTACCACCCTTGAAGAACAACACGCGACCGATCTCAAAGACAATCCTTCTTGCATCGAATGGCACACGATAGAACGCCAAGTCGACGTATACGTGCACAGTACAGGTGGGTAACTTTCCACCTTCTTCCACGTAGTAGTTTCCAACGGGACTGTCCGAATCCGAGATAGATCCCACCAATGCTACGGAATTTCCTTTTCGTGCCCATATGTAGACGCGACGTAAGTCCAACAGCAGCTTTGTTCTCATTGGATTGATCGAGCTCTGTCAGACATTCATTGGTTTCACGTTGCCCCAGTTTCGCCCCGTTGCATACTGGGCATATTCGGTCGGCTGTCATGTGATTTGGTCGAACAGTGTATGGTTTTACCACCAAAAAGATCAGTGGAATAAATTACCCATTTCTGAGACGCCAAATTGATGGTCGGGCGCCATGTCTCAGGCTCCTTGCGCCTCGGAGCGCTTGGCTTCGCGACCGTCTCGGGCAATGCAAGGTCCGCTCAGCAGGTAATGACGGGCGTTTCCATGACTTTTCGTATGTTAACGATAAGTTTCCCGTCATCTGTGCCTCCTGGTAGGTAGCTTGGTGGTCCAGACACTTATCGGCGGTCCACAAATGAGGGTGGTGGGCAGCGGGGTAACGCACCCACACATATGCAGGCGACGCTGCAGCCTGACATCCTACCGCCAGCCCCGCCATAATCCTGTAGATTTATGCCACGCCTCCTCTATCCCGCAGACTTTCCCTCATCCCGCAACATGACCAGACCTCTGTCTCAACAGGAGACGTTCTCCTGCAGTACCCGTTTATGAAAAATCCCGCCTTTCCCGTACCTCCATCCCACGTATTCCGGATGCGTGTCGGAATTTTACTCGATTCTCACCCGATTTCCGGCCACAATCCCATTCCTTGTGGGATCATTCAAGCTGAAATACTGTGGATTCATGGTCACGTTTCTGCAGCGTTGTTCTTGGATGAGCATCCGGCTCCATTCGCAGAAAAACGGACCACGATGGGAATTCCTGCACTCCTTGGAGCCCGTCTGGTGACCTTTTCCTGTCTTACCTAGGATCTATACAAACCATTTAAACACCATGTATCCGTTTGAAGAGCGGCCAAGTCAGTGTAAAGGATCCGACCGACAACGGACTTGATTGGCACACCGGAGAACGAGTACACCAAATGCAAAGCGTTGTCTTTCTGAGCTTTAGGTGAGTATAACAGTATGTCTGGGAGATTGATCTTACCTAATGCCTTCTTTCTAGAATATGTCAGTCACAGCACGTGAAGGTCCGAGCTCTTCAAATGCCCGGGTTCGCGTCTGCCCAGAGAAGCGTTCACCACCCACGTACGATGCGCAACGACCCGCTCAGTCAACCTCAAACCCCTCCCAAAAGCCTACAATCGTCTTCGCGCAGTTTTTTAATAGCATGGATGGGAAGAACACACGAAGGAATGCCGACAGGAGTCAAGAACATGGTGCAAAAGTTCATCCCTTGCGGGGTGGAAGGTTTGCGGATAACCATGCGCGCGTAGATATAAATATGAAGTTTTTTAACAAGCAAGTGCTGGGAGAGAGAGAAAGGCTCTAAGGGTGTGTTGGAGTTCAACTGTTTCGCTTGGAATAGCCAATATCTTGTCTCAATCAAAGTGTTGTTGAATGTACTCCTGCGGCTGGCGGGCGTCTCAGGATTCAGGATTGACAAAGTTGGAACTTTACCAAGGAAGAGAGATCAGTTCTTGCTCATAGCGCAATGTGTAACGTTGAATCATATCATAGCTTTTCAAAGTCCTGATTGATTCGCGCGTGCAAGCCAGACTATAACGCTAGGTATTTTACGCGGATAATTTTGAGCTCTTCTTGCAAGTCCCCCCTGAGCGCTGAGAGCCGCAAAGAAAATCCCTCATTTCTCCCGACATGCGGCTTGGAGAACCACACGGGAATTGGAACGCTTCCCAAACCTGTCTGAAATTGTATCAAACTATCCCACTGGACAAGGGTCGTAGCTGGCTCGCGACCAATCGGCGGGATAGTCCTGCAGCTATCGCTTGCGCGTCATCTTTGCCTAACGCCACCATCACGAAGCTGTTGCTAACTTCCTCCACGAACTACCCATAGACCGAGCGGATGCGGGATTGCGCCACTTACCCACCTCCCAAGCCAGGAGTTGTGACCGGTCAACGTGTTGTCGCAAGAAAAATCGGGAGGCGCGCGATATGCGGGATTCGGCA